GGGGCTTGTTTGAAATTTCATCCAAATTAAACAGTGTCCTTCCTAATGTTTAAGAATCAGATTTCAATATTGTTGTTCAACACTTTGATAAGCACGTGTTCTTTTGGTTTGAATCACTGCTAACAGATTTTAATTCCTGGATTTAATGATGAACCTACACTGTATCAGATAGACAAATTAATCTTCCAAGGTTATTGTTGATGGCATCCCAGGGAGACTTAGAGACACTGATAAAAGGCAGCCAAAAATGGCAGCAGTTATCAACAATCTATCTTGTATCTTCTGTGCTTCACAGATTTCATGTGCAGTGCATTACTGAGAAAAATTCCTGGCTTGCTTTCCTTTTCCTCCCTTGTTCTGGTCCCTAAATGAATGTTTCAAAGACTTTTTAGCTCATCTATCAATCAATAAATACCAAACAAAAAGCTGTGAAGCAATATTTGTAAAAAAAATCCCCCAGGAATTTTGTCTGATGAATGACATGTTAATTTTATAGAAATACAAACCAAGCAGTTCAGAGGCTCTGTGTACACATTAGACTCAGCCTCACTGTCTATTTTTCTATTATTGTGTATTTGTTTTCTTTGTACTCTCCAAAGTGCAACACTTCTGTCACTGTCTACTGGAGTAAGCACAGCTGGAGAACACACAGAGGATCTGCCCCTGGATCTGTGGTACCTTTGTCCAGACAAAATTAACCATCGAATCTGACTATACTCTTGAACACAAGCAAATCCTCCTGATATAAGTCCAAGGTTTTTTTCCTAAAAATGAGGCAAAATGTCGATTCATTTGATTTGCACGTTTACAGGTCCCATTATTCCAGAAGCTGTACCTACACAACAGTGCTCAGTGTTCCGCTCCTACAATGCTCCTCAAGAGGAGGTCCAGGAACACCCACCAGCACCTGGAGCGCGATCTGGGAAGGCCACCAAACCAGCGGCGATCGCAGGGGGCCGGATCTCAAAGTTCAGCAGGACTGTGATGCAGAAACCACTTCGGCAGCCCAAAGTAAAGCAAGTTCGGGAGAGCCCACGAGCGGGACACGACCCACCGATCCACCGCCCGCTGGAATGGGAGTAGGGCAGGGATGGGACGGCCCCGCTGCTTCGCTCCCGGGGATTCCCCGCCCTCCGCTGCCGCCGGGCCAGCCCGTCCCGGGCAACCCTTCCCTTCTCAGTCCCGGCTCTCCCTCCTCTCCTGACGGCATCCCGCCGCCCCAGCCCCCGCCAGCTCCAGACAACATTCAGTCCCCCACCTTCAGCCTCGCACCCCTCTCCTGGTTTGTCCGGTTTGCCAAAGCCATACCAGAAAATAAATGAATAAACGCACTAAAAGGCGAGCGAGCAGCCGCCGCCCTCCCACGCTCCGGAGGCAGCTCAGGCCCTTCCCCGCTCCCGCAGCCGCCCGAGCCCGGGGATAATCGCTGGGCAACTGCTGCGCACCCTCGGCGGGGCCAGAGGCGGGGGATGTGCGGGACATCATCCCTCGGGACTCCCGGCGGGGGCTGTGCGGGGCTCCATCCCCCGGGGCTCCATCCCCCGGGGCTCCCGGCCGCCAGGGATGTGCTGGACTGCATCCCCCGGGAGGAGGGCGCGGAACTCCATCCCCGCGGCGCTCCCCGTCGCGGGAGGGGTGCGGGACTCCATCCCCCAGCGCTCCCGGCCCGGCCGCCCCGCAGTGCTCCAGGAGCCCATTGGCAAATCCCGCCTTCGGGAAGCCCAATCGCCGCCCGGCTCCTTCAGCGGGGCCGCGGCCGCGGCTCACGGAGACGGGGCGGGCGATGCGCGGAGCTCCGCGCGGCTCCGCGGCCGCCGGGCACAGCCATGAACCTGGGGTAAGGAGGGACAGGGAGCGGGGCACGGCTGGGCTGGGCTGGGGCGGGAGGCGCTCCCGGCTGCCTGGGAGCAGACGGCCCCAGCCCCGCTCGCCCCCGCGGAGCGGAGCGCGGCGCTGCCGCGTGGCCGGGGAACCGGGAGCGGCACAGCCGGGACTGACGGCCCGTCCTACGGCACGGCCTCGGGAAGGGGTCTGGGAAGCGGTGGAGGGCGATGGGACATCGGGGACACCGCGATTCGGCGGTGCGAGGGGGCCGCGCACTCTCCGCGCCCCGCCGGGTGCGGCACAAAGCGGGGATGGGCTCGGCTGCGAGGGAGCGGCTGCGGTCACACCGCTCCCGGCTCCCGAGAACGTTCCGTGCTTGCTGGATTGTTTAATTTGTATTAATTTTTTTAATGAAAGAAAGCCTGAAGATACGTGTTACTTTGAACACTGATCTTCACAGTAGGGTTTCTCAAGGCACGGAAGAAAAAAAAAAAGAGTGTCTGTGTACTGTGCCTAAGCTCTGCCACGCTTTTCTCTTTTCATAAACCTTTCTGACAAAGCTTGTTCCACTTGGAAAGGTGGATTGTTGTGCATGGAAGCACAATGAAGGGCTGTTACCAGAACACAGCCCCTCTTTGTGGTCAGTGCTGGCATTCTGGGAGACTTGTTGAGTCGTTTTTGTAGCACACGGTTTATATTGTAGGATGATGAAATTCTTGAGGCAGGCGTATTGCTCTGTATAACTACAGTCATATATATATTTATATATATATATATATGTGTGTGAGTGGCACCTTCTTGCAACATGCAAATCCATTTTTTTCAGTATCAATAGTAAAATATGCTCTCTTCAACACACGTAGATTTCTTTGTATTAAGTAACTTCTCACAACATACAAAGCTTGGGATGTGAAAGAGCATCTGGACCAACAGTAAATACTGTCTTATAATTAAGTACAATTGTCCTTGTTATTAATGTAAACGTTGTCAGATTACTTAATATTTCAAATTCCATTCTCTCTCTCATTTTGCAGTGATGGACTGAAGCTTGAAACTGAAGTGCTGGATGGAAAGCCTAGGCTAATTTTAGCTGCTTCTGGTATTTTTTTAATCATTTATCTCAAGTAATCTTTAAAGCTTCTTGAAGTTAAACCTAAGATCCAAGCAACACGAAGCACAGCCTTATTGAAATATTTTCCAGATTAGGAAGAATATTTGTGCATTATTATTGACAAGTCCTTTTACTCAGGACCTTGATTCTGAACAGTAGGTTGATAGTGAAGTTCTGAATAGCCTGTCCACTGGTGAACAGGTGGCCAGTAGTCTTGACTCTGTTCATAAAGGTGCTATTGTGTATCAACTGGCATACTTGGATAATTTTTTAAACTTTGTATCACATTACTTACCAGGGAAAAAGCGGCCTAATAACTCTCTGCTTGATTTACACAGAATTACATCATTACAGTCATCTTTTACTTGCAAGCAGCTTCAGTATTTGGCAGTTGACATTTTTAATTTTCAATAAGCAGTTTATTTAGGCCAAATCTCATTACTACCATCTGAGACAGACTTTTCCAGTATATGTTCATGATTAAATGTTAATAAATTCTATTTTTGTGATTTGTCAGACATATGTTTGCTACTTTACAGCTATTTTTCAAAGCTGTTCTACATATTCAGAATACAGAAAGTCTCCATTTAATGTCCTTTAAATTATATTTCATTGTCTGCATTTACCAGACAGCTGTTTAATGAGGCTTTATGTGGTGGTTTGAGTCAGGAAGGAATATCAGTGTACTGGTGATTGATAGACTCTGCAGTACCTCTGAAACAGCAATGCTACAGCTTTCTCTTTATAACCAGCAGCAGCAGCATTGGCTGCACAGGGCCAGTGCATGTTCCAGAGTGCTCCAAGATAAAGCATTGCCTTGGACTGTGAACTAGCCTTGAATAAGCAGCCTTCTCCAGAAATTAACTTGTTTATGCACTGATATAAACAGCACTTCCTTGAGCAGCATGATGTCAAAAATTGCATCCGATTGTGTTAGTTCTGAATTTCAGTTTTCTGCACTGACAGACAACGCTCACAGTCTTAGGGACTAAAGCAGGATTATTCTGCAGTAGCTTAAGCTGCTGCTGGAGACAGATGCTTCTCTCTTACACAGAAAAAAAAAATGAAAGAAAATAACACATAAGCAGCACACTTTGGAGTCTCACATTATGCATCTCCCCACTGTGATGGGAAAAACCCCCATTTGTGTTTCTCCTTTCCGCAGAGAAGTTGGGTTTGAATAGCACATAGAATCACACTTAATTTAATTTCTGAATAGCCAAAAAGAAGTCAAAAAGTGACTTTTACCTACTCAAATGAGGGTTGAATGCTTGAGAACCCAGAGATGAGCATGGCCATAGAATACCTTTACTACTAAACATTATCGAGGTGGGTCAGGATTTAGTGCCTGTCCCTGCAGGACAACAGTTCAGCATACTCCCAAATTTTAAAATGTTCATCTCGGTTGGAAGTCATTAAGAGTGCTGTTTTGCAGACTTTAACAACAGTTTTCCAGTCTCTTCAATTGTTTAATGCCAAAAAAAGGGACAGGTGCTACCAGTGCAAAGTGATCAGCATCCACTGCCAGAGCAGTAAGTGCATTATGCAGCTGAAGAAGCCTTATTTCCAATAGATGTGTCCCAGTAAAATCGTATCTCTACTATTTTCTCTCCCTTTCCATTAGCTGTATGTGCAGGATTTCTCGAGTACCACTTTCTCTCTATTATAATATTCTTTATTCATAAGTATTATACTGAACAATGGTACTTACTATTATTTTTGAGACCACTACACCTCTGTGCACCCTCTAGGATTTGGGTTAAAAGACTGAAGAGCGTTTCAGGGCTTGGATGTGGGGAGCAATAATGGATGGCATCTCAGCAAGGGAGACAAATATCATGTAACCAGAGATAAAGTCATTACCACAGGGCTCTGAGAAATAATGAATAGCAGGGGAGAGTCAGACTGGCACAATAATTTTATTAGATGTGTATAAAACTAGAAATAGTTACTGGAACATATCTAATTTTTTTTCCAACATATTTTTAAAGTGTGTCTACTGAAATAAGTAAAAAAAGAAAAAAAAAAAGTAAAATAATCAGGGCAGATGTTACGGGCAAAGTATTTTCCCCTGACCTACAAAACCCAGATAAATATACCAGTTTACTAATATCTCAAGATTGTTTTCCAGGAGGAAGTTGTCGTTAAATACTTCTTTCATGTGTTTGTGTTTCTTTCCAAAAGACAAATCAAAGCCTGCAATGAAGGTAAGTGGAAAAATTATTAGAATACATAGATTATTTAGCTTGTTAACAGAGAAATTTGAGAATTTGAACTGTCTAAATACTTGTAATCAATTATATTTATGAAAGAGAAATTTGTACTTATGGGTCCCTTTTATCTTGAGATACTCTGTGAATTCTCAGGTTCATAATAGCTGTCAAAAGGGATGAATTCCAAGTTCTGTCACTATTTTTACCTTTGCAAAATGCTTTATTTTACTTGGCCAAGAATTTAAAGCAGCACAGGGAATCACATAAATCAGAACTTTGAGAGACCTCAAAGGAATTCTGGTAAAATCTGGATCTGAAGTGTGTTTAAGTTCCAGTTTGGTCATACAGGTTGTCTCTGAGTGAACTGGAGTGCAGTGGGTTAGGGAAGGACAAAAACCAGAAAAAGGCCCTAAGACATAGGAAATAATTACAAGTGTACAGCAAGGAAGAAAAATGACACTTATTTTACTTGTTGCTTTGATCTTGTTTTCATTTGTTACAAATACAATTTTATTTCCTTATTTAATATATGGGGAAATCTTTTTCTTTGACAGATGGGGAATAAAGCCAGAGCACCTAAACAGGCATTGAGAACGAGGCACACCGGGCATGTCCTGAGGTCAACACAAAATGCTTGTATCAAGCAGGAAAATGTAGCAAAGCCAAGGAGTGAATCAAGCTTATCAATGACAAAAGGTGAAAAACTGCAAGTTGCTAAAAACTCCTCACACGAAGCCACAACTAAAGGTCACTCTTTGATTTTCCAAAGAGATGGCACAAACAGATATCCTGATTCAGGGGATCCTAATATTGTTCAAAAAGCTAAACCGAAACCTCAAACCCCATCTGTGTCAGGTGAAGACTCGACAAGTTTGGTGTGTTTAACACAAGAACAGCTCCAGCAGATCTTGATGATTGTTAAAGAAGGAAGTAGAAGCATCTCTGAGACTCATAATGGAAAGCAAGAGGAAATGGGTAAGATACCAACTGTTGAACAAGTTCATTTCATGGAAACAGAGCAAAATGTGAAAGTTTAACTTCGAGTTGGTAACTCATTTGCATGCTGTAGAGAGAGCAAACCAGCAAGCAGTTTTGGCAATATTTCATGCAAAATAAGAACCATTTTACATTGGGGTAGGAAACAAAGAATTACATGTATCACTGCCTCAAAGAGACAGGCCCTTCTGGTTTGTGAGGAGTTCAGGTCTTGCAGTGTGTCTCAGGAGCAGTACTGCCATGTTCCTCTGGCCCAAAGATGTTCGTGTATCTTTTTGCTTAACTGCAAATATTACTGTTTTGTAGCTGTTTTTTCCCTCCCCACTTCTACTCAGAAGCATAAGAACTGTTGTGTATCTCCCTGCATTGCACCCCTACTCCTGTGGGTGGGTCTCTGAAGAGGGTCAGCTCTTTGCCACTGAGAATAAGACACTGGAATTAAGTAGAGTCCCAAAGTCTGAGCCTTTAGCCAAGAATAAGCATTTACTAAAAGTCTGGCATTCTAAAAATACCTGTGAAGTTCTAACTTACGTGTCTTAACTCCGTAAGCAGGGCTGAAAAGAGTTTTGTTAAATAGTGTGGAATTTGCAATTTTCTGCTGTTCTTGAAATATTTTCTCAGTGCTGAAGAAAGTTTAATGGCCATAAGTATTTTTATTTTTTATATATTTATGTTGTCCACAGCTGCTAATGAGGCATCAGAGGAAAATGTTGTAGCATCACTCCAAAAAGATTGTGAAGTTTCATCAGTTCCAGATGAAACCAACTCTGATTCAAGCAGGAAACAAGAAGCACGTCCACAGCCAGGACAGAAAGTTATGTAGGTAGATTTGTGTTATTATCTACAAAAATTGTGCCTCCAGTGAAGTAAGGTTCTTAATAACATTAAGACTGTTTATAAATACTACTTTAAAAAGTTACCTTTAAAATTAACAGATTAGCTTTTTAGGTAAAATTCTTTTATTCCTCCCTCCTTTTTTCTAGAAAGGATTCCTGGAAACCTGCTGACATATTTAGTACCCTGGGTGAAAGAGAAGGGGAGAAAGCCTTACTGGAATTTAAAAAGACCCAGTGGAAGAAGGAATTAGGTATTTATGACGTATAGAATATATTTTTGATCAGTTTTTATTACACCCATGACAGGTGTTTTCTTCTTCTAGAGAGACTCCCCAGTCACCTCAGCATCTCTGGGCAGAGTCTCAGCTGCCATTCCCTTAAGAGCCACGTCATGTTTGGTCAGACAGTGGTGACAACTCTTGTAGTCCATTTTACAGTCAAAATAACAGGGCAGACATGCATTGATGCCTTTTTTTTTTAACTGCTAAATGTTTGTTTTAGAAACTCTTACTAGAGGTTTTGGTTTTGTTTGGTTTTTTTTTTTGTAAGATGAACAGGTAGCACTGAAGAAGAAACTGAAAGAAACTTTGGAGGGAGAGGTGGGATATTTCTGGACAAAACCTGGCAATAATAAAACCCATAAAGGGAAAGTGGAAACAGCTGACCCAGATCAGGTAAGGCTGTCAATAAACACAGAAGAGCACAGTTTCTACAGCACTGTTGCAGAACAGTTTAACTTCTAATACATACAAGGTTTTCTTTTCTGTACAATCCCGTAGAATCCAATATCAGTGGTGACTTTGAGCTCTTCCTTGGCATGAAATGCTGCAGCTCCCTGTTCCACACTTACCTATAGCTCCAGTTTGTAGCTTTGCAACTTAAGATATTTGTAGTATGAACAACCTGTTCCTGTCCTTGCATTCTGATTCCTGACTAAAAATACGAATCTTTTCTAGTTCTGAGAAATAGTCTCAAAGGTAATTCCTGGCTGTATAATTATTTACATTGTTCACGAGCTCTCACATAAGTGTCATTGTTTACATCATCATGAGCATAGCAACAGGACTTTTCTTCTGCCTTTTAAAAAGTCAGCTGTCACTCTGGAAACACTGTGTTAGATAAATATAATATACTCAGATGAAACCTCTCCAGTGAACCTGATTGCTGTAAAACAGAAGTTAGTGCTGTATCTGCTGTCAGTTATTACAGCAAAAGCAAATTGCCTTTTTCTTTTGTGGCATATTCAGCATTCTTAGCAAAGTTACAACTGCCCCATAAGAAAGATTTTCAATCAACATTAAGAAATTAATTAAGAAATACTGGGTATGAGAGGCTTAGTTACAAGTTCTAACTGAAGTTTTAATGAAGCTTCTAGGAGTATAATTTACTTGTTTATTATATGTTAAAGGCTATTTAATATAAACCAAACAGGTAAGCTAACTAAGGTCTTAAAATGATCCTTTTCTTTGCAGGCAGTGTTTGCAGCTGACTCAGTCAGTGCCACTGAGGAACACTGTGCCTGTACAGCTGCTTTAGCCACAGAGGCTGCTGAAGTTCCACTGAATGTTTCAAGAGCTCCAGCTGGGCAGTCTTCTGATTTCAGTTCTTCTGACTTTCCAGCTGGCAATTGCACAGCATTTGTTTTCAGGGTAAGATCTTAAATTGCATGCAGGGTTGTTTTTTTTTTTACTTATTTATTGACAACAAATGTTTGCCTTCCAGTAGTTCTTTTAAAGCAGAAGAATTCATTAGATCTTTTTGCTCTCTCCAAATAATTGTGTCTAAGTGAATGTTTATCGAAATATTGGTGTTTTGAAGACTAAACATTTTCAAGACTGATGTGGGGAACAGTACTAGAGGTGTGACATGAAGTATTAGTTAATTAAAAGATAGAGAAGTGGGAACCTATCAAAAATAAAAGATATTGATGGCAGAAGGTTCAAGAAGTAGGTTTTGGGTTGTGGCTAGTAGGCAGTGATTGAAAGTGGGCTTTTTTTCAGATGGCATTGAAAGTTCTCAGTGCCAGTGGAGTTTGTTAAATAATTCAGACATCTAAAGAAACAGAAACAGAAGAATGAAGATAATAAGTAATTTACTTGAGACAGATTACTGCTAATTAGATTGTGATGCTGCAACTGGAATACAGACAGGAAGAAGGACAGGACTTTTATTCGTGATAACATAAGTAAGGTTTTCTAGAGTGACAAGCAGATGGTTCAAGTTCATGTTCAAAGTTTGGCTTATTTAGCATCTTTCTAACAGCAGTCAGACACTTCCTACAGTTACAAACCTACTGTTTCTGTGCTAGAGAAAAGCTCACTTATGCTTCCTAACTGAAGGCCAAGTCTTTATTATATGCCTAGACAAGGTACTGAATTTTTTGCACAAGAGACTAACACTTATCTGATTTCAGGAAGCTGTGCCACAGGAACAACCTTTCAGTGCTTTGAAGCATGAGCAACAGAAGAAGTGGCTTGAAGAGCTGGACAAACAGAAGGAAGAAGCTAAACTACGAAAAATAGAAGAAAAACTTAATTTATCAAAGGTATCTGTGGTTTAGAGGGACTTTTTTGAATATGAGAACTTCTTCTCTACATGTTTTTTCTAAGAAATAAAAGATGAAATCATAGACCTAGTGAAGTGGCAACAAAGGCATCATTATCTGCAGCATGTCCATGTTTTCACTGTCAGGATGGACTCACTGAACATTCAGCCTGTAGCTGTTCCAGTATTTCAGTGGCAGAGGACAGACTGTGGCTGCTGTGGGGTTACAGTGCTTGCTGCACAGATGAAGACAGGGATATTGTTATCTATTTTTTTCTTTTCCACCATATGTAAAAGCAAAGGTTTGGAAGGTGGTGTAGAGACAATGGCTATACAGTTTGTAAAAAGAAATTTTGTGTAGACAACAGGAGGAAAGTTAGAGACAAGTACAGTGTGTTCAAGTGGTGTTTAAATCCTGTTTCTAGAAATATTATTTTAGTACACATACACTCTCATGAAACCTTAAAAAAATTTAAAAAACACTTCTCCAGAAAGTATTGAAGAAAATAGCCTTACCTTGTTCACACTTTGGTTTTTCCAGGCTGTTGAATGTAGATCTCCAATACTGGATCTAGAAGGAAAGTGTGGCCAATGTTATTGCTTTGCAGGTGGAATACCTGAATAGCCTTTTAATACTGTCCCTATTGGCTAATGGAGTCAGTAGATCTTTTACCCCTGGAGTTTCTTTATATAGAAGCTGACTTCTTTCCTTTAGCTGTTTTTTGTTTGGTTTTTTTTTTTTAAGGTCAGTAGAATACTCTGCATTCTTATACAGCCCCATACTGACATACTTTTCCAAAGACTTTGTTTTTTGAAATAAAAAATCCTGCATTGAGACTGTACTGCTGCTAGAATCCCAAATTACTGTCCACAGCTTCAACTCCAGGATTTTATCTTTCACCATACACGAGCTGTCTTTGCATCACGAGATGTTTTGTATTATTAGGGAACAAGAAGCCTGGTTACCAAAACTTGATGGATATGAATTTTCACAGCCTGTGGCTTCTGGATTACAAGACTACTGTTTTTACTCCCAACTGAAGCATTTTACAGCAATTACACAATTCCTAGACAGCAATCCATCATTTTAATACCACAGCTTGTAATACTAGAATAGTTTTCCAGCCCACCCTCCTGAAGAACCTCTTGTTGCCCAGGTTGGTTTTGTACCTACACACAACACCAGTCTCGTCCTCTTCTTAACTGTTGAAGGGATCAGGTTTCCTTTGTAAACTGAGTTTTGCAGCTGTGAAGGGAACCCAGCTGTGGAAGGTTCCTTCATTAGCGCCTTGTTTTTCATGGATAGCTGTGCTGTGGGAGGAGGCTGCAGTTACCCCTGAGCAACTCCCCTGTACTTTCACTCCCCGCCCCTGTCTGAAAGGAGGTCAATGGGCACTTAACCTCCTTTGCTTCAACACCTTTTTTTCAGGTGTTGTGTGGTACTCTGAACTCTTTTGCATATTGCAGCACAGACCCTCAAAAGAATAAACTCGATTTTTCAACTGTCTGATCTGCTTCTGTATCACAGAGTATTCAAAGGGAACAAAACCCAAGGCACAAGAGGAAGAGTAACTTGGATTTTTATTATTTGGACTATGATTTTCATGCTTCTTTTAAAATAGGTGTTAAACTGAGCTTGACACAAGGGAATTTTTGTTTAAATAAAGGACTCTCAGAAAGTATATTATATTGCAGAATTTTAGGTATTTTCTTGCAGAATGCAAAGTTTTAGGTAGTCATTCTCCAGTCCCTCCAGGGAAACAGTTCTTTCAGTCAGAAGTGAAAACCTTCTCAGTACCTGTAGCAAAACAAAGGCCCCTTGGGTAAAAAATCTTTTATTAGTGACATATTGGCATGTCCCAGTTGCCAGCACTGAGCCAAAAAGATAAGCCTGGATAGTACAGAAGAGAGATTTACACCCAGTGTGTCACCTCTTCAGAAGTTTTAGGTACTTTGCTGGGATGGCAGTAGTGGCTGCTGGGAGTGGAAGAGGTTTTTTAAGGAAGGATTATTTTAGAATAGGCATGTTTAGCTGAAAATTGGAAGCTGGATATTAATATTTCTGCCCAAAGCACATTGATTCTGCTACTGTCCAGAATTAAAATGGAGGGTGTCAATGTAGGACAGTTTAAAAGAAGCCACTTGTTCTTGTTAGTAGAGAGAGAATAATGGCACAACAGGAGCAGAGTGTGGCAGGGCAGGTCCTGACCTCTCAAACAAGCAGTGCCCAGAACTGTTAGAAAAATCATAGGATAGAATAGCAATAGCAATTGAAAAAACACGACCAAAACGCCTGAACTTATGTTAATTTACTCTTTTATTTTTCAACACTTTTTCACCTTATAAATTTCGGTGTTGTTTTATTCTGAAAATGAAGGAGTGATGGTTTTGCTGACCAAGTATGGATCAGCTGTGTAATTCCTGATCTGACTTGCATTTTAAGCAACAGCCAGACTTGTTTTCCCATTTAAGGAATTCACTGCTGTCTGTGTTGTAGCTCCCTAACAGAGCTTTTCTAATGTTCCTGCTGTACAAAATATGTATTGTCTGTTTTGTTAAGCACACTTTACAGAAACAGTGTGATTGAGTGCTTTTCCTTTTTTTTTTTTTTTGTTGCTTGATATTTATTTAGGCAGAAGAGCATGACAGATGGGCAATGCATTTTGATTCTTTTAAGAACCACCTTAATGCTAATGCACAACACCCCCTAAATGGAATGCACAAAAAGCAGCCTGAAAGTCTTTTCCTGTCACCTGACCCTAAGGAGCTGACTGCTTTTATTCACCCTTTTTCACCTGCAGCTTTAGGCAATCTCATGCCCTTAAAGGTGGGAAATGCAGAAAAAGCTGCTAAAAATGGTGCTTTGGAACAGAGTCAGAAAGTCAGGTGAGTGAGCTGTGTAAGGATAATCATCTTCCCAGCCAGTACATTTCTGATACCACCTCAGAAATTAGAAAAAAAAAAGCGATTTCTAATTTGGCTTTTGCTTTTCTTCAGAACTACCTGTTGTTTCACTTGTGAAAGACACAAGTGCTTCCATTGTTCACTAATAACACTTACTGCAAATAACCTTACTTTATTCCTTAATAAAGTGAATTTCCTAATTATAAATTAATACAATGGCATAACCTCAATATGAAAATGAAATCTAACTGATTCTAACTAAGAAAGGCTTTAGGGTTATTTTCCAATGATTCAAAACATTTCCATGTTCCTCTGTTCTTAGTTTCCTCCGTTCAATGACGGCTCTCCTGGACCCTGCACAGATCGAGGAGAGAGACAGGAGGAGGCAGAAACAGTTAGAACATCAGGTAGACTTTTGTTTTAAAGGCTAACACCATTTTAATGAGAAGGAAAGATAAAAGGTGTGTTGTCTCCTGAAGAAAGCATGAGATTTAATATCAGAATCCAGGCAGGCACTTGACTTTTATGCTGTAGATTGCATGGACAGTTGTTTGACAGTACTGCATTCAGTCACACGTATATGAAAGTATATGAATAAATAGCTTATAATGCCTCAGTGTTACAACTTTTCCTTTTTTTTTTCTGGTGCTGCTAGAGAGCGATAATGGCTCAGGTGGAAGAAAAACGGAGGAAGAAACAACAGGAGGAAGAGAAGAGAAAATGGGAGGAGCAACAGGAAGAACTGCGCCTGGCACGAGAAAAAGAACAACTGCAGAAACAGTTTGAAGAAGAAATGCTGAAACAAAAACAAAAGGAGGTGGGGGTTTGCATTATCTGTAGTGCAGATAGTCAGTAGCACAACTGAGTTTTGAGGAAAGTGGTTTTTGTTCCTCACCTTCAAAATTGTGGCACCTCATCATTTTGAAAATGAAAACTCTGTGAAACTGAGACATTTGAAATCAAAATCTGTTCCCTCAACTGATAAACTTATAACACCATACAAGCATAAGGCAACTTTCTTTTTCTGTACAAGGGCCTTTTCAGGAAGAGAAATTATAAGAACTAGCAAAAAGGGAAATGTGGTTTTAAATAATGCAGAAACATCCATTGCAAAATGCAAATTGTGATGCAATTACTGTTATGGGTAACTCGATCCTTTTAGATGCTTCAGTAGCGTGAAGTTCATCTGACTGAATGTGCTTTCAGTCTGAATTAAAGACTTCTTAGAATACAGTCTGGAAAAGTAATTTTAAAAGTCAGTCATGTTCTACAGCTTTGCCCTCTGTAGCTGTTACTGAGCTTTACAAACTGCTTTCATATAAAAGTTAAACCAAAAGTACATTCTGATCTCCAGTAAGTACAAATTGTGCATTTTTACAGGTTCTTACCTGTGTAGAAGGTTAAAAGCTTCCTCTGATGTTTCATTCTTCCTTTTGCCACAGTAGCAGTTATTACTGTTCATTTCCTACTTGGAACAGTAGCAGATTCCATAGTGTCACTGCTCCAACCCTGCAGAAATGAGGATCCCTGGTTTCATTAAACCATGTTACAGGAAGACACAAATGGCTGATATCAGATGGCTTCTAGGAAAAAAAAAGAATTTATTAGAAAGGAAATAAATATCAAAATAACTTTGAGGATCTAAATGCTCACTTTTCTATGCTAGGATTGAGTACCTTTCATTAGTACAGCAGAGATTCTGAATTTATCCTTAATAATCATAGAAATTATATGTTACATATTGCATTTACTCAACTAGTTTTCGTTTTGAAAAACAGATATTTTCCCAAAATAATAATATATGTAAACCTCGAGGATTACATGGGGATTAAATAATCCCTTTAATTTTATTCTCAAAATAAACAATCACATATTTGCCTTTTTTTTTTTCTTCTTTTAAGGAACTCGCAACTCTTAAAACCAAAGAGCTCTATCAGACAATGGAGAAAGCTCAGGAATTAGCCCAGAGATTAAAACAAGAACAGCACATTCCAGACGTGGCTCAGAAGGCACATGACATTTGCAGAGTTCAGAACAATCCTGGTGGTGGCAAGTCCAAGCCTTCTCCTACTCATTTTGCCTGTTCCTGTGGGGTTTGAAAGCAAGTTGTTTCTGGGTTGGGGGTTTTTTGGGTTTGTTTCCCTCTCTGCATTTGGGTCAGAAACGGCTCCTTCACAAACCAAGTTTCATTAAAATTTATTTACCTTCCAAATAAATACAAGTGTTGACTACTCTGGAGAATATTGTATTTGAGTAAGTAGCAAGGGCTGTATTACAGAAAGAAACACCACAGTAGGCACAGTTTAAATTGAACGTGTGTTACCAAATGGAACAATTTAACTTACAATAATTTCACCTACTTTTTAGGTGATACACAGTGTGAAACTTGTAATTGTGCCATTTCACATCCAAGTAACAACTTTGCTGATGAGGTCAAGAGCCCCAGCGAGCAGCAGGTTTCTCCTCGGAAGGACACGGCTGTGCAGACAGGTACGACCGAGTGCTCTGATGCTCCTCAGCAAAGGCAGAGACAGCGTGTTTGTGAAATCACTGGGGGTCAGAATGGAACACAACTGGAAGGAAATCCTTGCACAGACATGTTGGTATATTAGAATGTATCACTTTATTCTACTAAATAAATGATATGTTTGTATAGTTGGTACTTACCGGTTACAGATTCAAGTCACACAGCGTGGAGTGTAGTGTTGACTTAGAGCCACAAGCCATGTAGGCCCATCCACATTTACTAAAGCATTTAAACATGTGTCTGTAGTATTCTTCAGTGTCAATATTCCCAGGTTTGTTATTGAGCAGGGCTGAGCTTTTCCTAACGAGTCCTCGAATATATTGGCAGAATCATTGTCAGTAATTCTGGAACTAGAAAACTCATTAAAAATGAGAGCTTACATTCAAATGTTGAGAAAATGTTTACCTTCTTGCTAAATATTGAGAGAGAATTGCAGGTCCATATAGACAGAATATACTCCAGTCTTCATCTTCTTGATTTTGTATCACACTGGTAAAAAACCCAGCTCAAACTTAATCTGCATTTGTTAAATGTTCTACACGAGGTGTGAATGAGCAGATTCAGTGGAAACTTCCAATCACTTTATGCCTTGTATTTAGAACTGTATTAGCTTGTGAAGTGCAAGCTTTATTTTGTTCCTGCTTCCCAAAGCACCAACAGAACATTTTTGGTTTTGGCAGTGCTGGTGGAAATTTTACTCTGAATTCGGAGAGTTTACAAATCAAATAATGTTTTTGTGAATGCCTAAAAGCGGGACTGTTAATAATTTAAAAACTGAACAAACTATTTCCATTGGACAATAAGGATTAGGGAATTAAATTATTCCCAGTAGTGCTGTGAATATGACCAAACCATGGGCATGCTGGAAAACTATACAGAAGCTGTGTTTTGCTCTTTACTTTTGGGTACCATGACAGAAACAGAATTCTACATTTTAAAAGAATGTTGTTTCACTTGACATACATTTTCCTTTACAATGACTTGATTTTGTTGTCCAATCTTTTGGGGTTTTCCTCTTCCTTACTGGGTTTGCTTCTACTGGTCCTATCTGTCTTCTAAATAAAAAAAAGAATAAAAAAAGTTTATAAAAAACTGTAACAGCCATTTTTGATTAAAATCATAATGGTAGATTGATATGCACACAAAAGTCAACCAAGTAATTTGAATAGCTTAGAGTTAAAATACAATTCTTTCTCTTTTTTTAGATGACTTTAATACTTCAGCCTACACTGAGTCAGCTGAGGAAAGAACTGTGCGTTGCGAATCACCTGATATTTCTATAGAATATAAAGAAACCTCCAACAGCAAAAAATACCAGAAGGAAATGCAGTATATAGATAAAAATAAAATATCAGGAAAAGAGACTCGTGGCACTTACAGTGACCTATATGACCAGTATGCCAGAAAAGAAAGACAAATTAAATCTTCAGAAAAATACAGCAAAAGACCTGACTGGAACATAAACAAGCCTGGGAAAAGATACATTCCAGCATCAGAAAGATACCCTAAACCACTACAAAAACAAAGGGAAGAAAACAAAGTGAGGAGACAGATGGAGCTGCTTCAGTTGATGGAAAGAAACACCCCTGGGCACCTCTGTGCAAGGAAGGGGGGGGACTGGGACAGGTCTCCCTCACCTCGGGAAGAAACAGCTGTGAGGAATAAGGGGCACAGAGGCAGGAAGGTAGGTCACTGTTTGGGCTTTAAAACAACAGTGATGCCCAGTTTTGAGACTCTTGTTCCACACAGTTTTGCCTGGATGGGAGTTCAGTTCTGTACCTGAAGCACTGAAATCTTCCTGTTGCTGTTCTTGGAAAAAATCTGGACCTCTCCTTTAATAATCATTGCCTGGGGTTGAACCTTTCAGTTTATAAATGCAACTTTCCAAGGACATGGAAATATATATGTATAGTATTTTTGATAGTGCTTAGAGCTGCCAAAGGCATAGAAAATGGAAGAAAATCTTCCTATAATTTGCTTAATTTAGTTCATAGACACTGTAAATCTCTTTAATGCAAATCTTTGATAAATACCTTTCTGCTGAACCCAGGTCACACAGTCCTTTTGGAAGTTCAAAACAAACCCGTTTTGAAAAATCAAAGCTTTTAATGTAAAAACGTGGAGATTTGTTGTTTTACTTTTGACTTTGCTTTCTCCTAGGATGAACAATTTCGTAAGAATCCCTTGAATGAAGAAAGGTACGTCAATGCTCTGCATTAATGAAATGTAGAAACACATTAATAGTGAAATACACTTGCTTTTCTTTCCTGACTTTTACATGTATCTAATTGTCTACCATTAAAAATACACATGACCAGACACACTGCAATTACGAAAGCAGAGTAAATTAACAAAAATTCCTGTCCTCTGAGGATTCCTTTCTCTGCTAGCTGAGAAAAATTAATAACATCATTTTAAGTATTGTTTGGGCCTTTCTTAACTGCAGTTGTTTCGTACAGATCCGAATCGCCACCTGTTCCAGCAGTTAAGAACAGATTACTCCAAGTCCAACAGAGACAGATCCACGCTTCCAATTTCCTGGTGCATAACAACAACAGCAGGAGAGAGAAAAGCATCAAGGCAGATCCCAAGCAGAGGAGCTCCCCTCCTGCCCCAGGGGCTGCACGGCCTCCCTCGGCACAGTTTGTCCCCTATGTCCGAACAAACGAGGTGTATTACCTGGACCCAGAGGCACCAGTGACCAGACCTTCAACACATGACCCACAGTATCGACAGCTCCACGGTACTGAAACGATGCATGTAGGAGAGAAGAAATGTTACAGTGGTTTAGATGCAAGTGCTGCAGTTTTATCCGATTTGATGTCTGTTTTTACTGGATTTTGGAGTAATCCATGTGTGTCACAGCACTGCACGCAAAGGCTGTGCAGCCAAATGATGCTCTCTATCAACTCAACAAAGCAACCACAAAAAAAGTTTAAAAAAAAAATCAAAACAGCAACAAAAAAAAATACTTTATCTGTCTTTTTTGTCTGTTTACCTTTAATGGAGCACGATTGCATTTCTCTGGCATTATTGTATATAGATTGGGGTTTAGGAATCCAAGCATTGTTTAACTTAAAAACAGTGATTATAATCTTGATAGCAACCAAAACCTGATTTTCACAAACCGTGAAAATTTACTGCTTCAAAATTAAAACAAAATTAAAAAAGAGTATTGTTAACTGATTTGATGTACATTTACTTCTAGGTTCTTACCAAATGCCACGACAGATTTTTAGCTCAGATCACATTAGAGATCCTCTTCTAAACCCTGATGTAGTTAGAGAGAGACAACAAGCAATTCTCAAAGGATTGTCAAAATTACGCCAGGTAAGCAACAACTGAGTGGATAAACATGCATATATATATATACATACATATATATACACTAAAGTAAAAACGAACATTGCAAACTATTATATATCATAATCTTTAATTCATTTTCCATCATACGATTTACGGTTTGGGTCCTGTCCTCTACTTTTGTTCCCTCTTACTAAGTTTGCTTTCCACTTCTGGACAGTCCTTCCAGTCAGACCGTGGACTCTTTAGTCTTTGATTAGCTGTGAAACAGTGGAGTGCCTGAGGAAACCTGAAATCAAGAAAAATGGCTTTGTTTCTGTAGTTAGGGTTGTCTGTATTAAAAGTGTATGAATTTCAAAAGAACAGTGTTTTAACACAGCATTAGAACCTTGTTAATGAAATTTCCCTTCTGTAGTTCCTGCATGAGTGAGTCTCAACAGAGCAGTGGGGCTGGTGCAGAAGGGGTGTCGGTCCTGGAAAAATCCTGTATATTTGCAAACTGGAAGTGCAAACACTTATAAAATCCTCCCAAGACAGCTATTTGTTAGCATGTTAAAAAAAAATGTCAGGATTTGTCAATCAGCCAGATTTTCTGAAAATAAAATGAAAATTAGCTTAACGCTACAGACACACGAGCTCCTGAGACTAAAGCCTGGGTGTGTTTGTATAGGTTGTTCTCTTTGTAGTAAGTTACTGGTATCTTGTTACTAAACCCTGAGTGAATGTGATACTCCACCTGTTGGCAACAAGGTGTGGCACACAGCAGGTCCTGACACGAGCAGTTCTCTTTTGTGCTTCTAAATGGTCTGACAGGGCTGCAAGACAAAAACCCACATTTACTTTAGATTTGCATTTAGTTCTTGAAGAACACTGAAGATAAACATCTGTCAGTACCTTCCCTTGCTTTTTGAATGGCTCCATTCTAAAGGAACCTTCTTGCTAGCAGCAGTATTAATTTTTCTGTTCCTTGAGGGAGGAAAATTTCATAAAGAATCAAAGGGAAAAAAAATCTGACAGACTGGAGTACACCAAAATTACCAGTAGTTAATGTTATTGATTCCCTGGATTACCTGCTGTGCTTTAGCAAGACAGAAGCACTGCCATGCACAGGTGGTGTTTCAGCTGCAGGTAAATTCCTTGTGCAAAGGAAGGGTCATAACACTCCCCAGCTGAGGAAGAAAAGTTGTGACCCAAGAACAGTGAAAAGCTGCCAGTTCCCAGTAGCTTCCTAATGGGGTGGACTGGATCTGGTCTCCCCCAATGCTCATTAACATTTTTGTTAAATACCTACAGTTGTTAAGTATTTTGTATTCAGGCTTCATTTGCCAGTGGCATTTTGATTAAGAGTGAAGCCAGATCCAAAGCACAGTCTGATCCTTGTGCTTACTGGGGTGAACAAAAGGCATGGATATTTAAAGAGGTTTACATTTTTGATGCATAGTATATATTCAAGTCTTAACAGTGGCTAAAAAGTAATGGCAAGGTTAGTCTTCCAATGGATCTTGGTTCTGCAAAAGAGTTAACTTATAACATGTGGAGTTCTTTTTTTAAATACCCTGCCAGCTGCAGAATGCATTTAGGACATGAACTGTTGAACTTCAGTATATTTGTATACCTAAGTATTGTGTGCTCCTGCAGATGACACCTGTTTTGCATCAGTTATTTCACTGAGAAAGAGTGAGTAGTGCAGTATTTTGTCTAAAATACAATTTAGACAAAGATCTGAGTTTTGTTTCAGAAAATTAGTTTTGGGTTTTGTATTTATATATACATATATTCAGTGGATTGATAGATTCAAAATATATACATATATTCACAACATATTTGGCCAGTCTTTAGCATTCTTTTGTCTGGAGAAATTCACAGACTATTTGGCCAGTCTTCAGCCCTTGCACTCCACACCTGGCCCAAGTGATCCATAAATACAGTTGGGCTGTTGCAGTAACAGCCCAGAGGAAGACACCAGGGAAAACAGGAGAGCCTTCCCCTGCCAAAGGGAGGGAGGGTCTGCTGCTGCAGTTATTACAAGACAGAGAGCCTCTGGCTGTGTCTCAGGTTACAGCAATAACAGGAAAAAGCAACAGACTTCGTTTTCCTCACTGAAATCAAAAATCAGGGGATAAGCCCAGCAAAGTGAATTATCTGTGAAAAAGAAGGGCCAAAGTTTAAGAAAAAGGAGAACACCCCCCCCACCAGGTCAAGTACATACCAGAGCACCATAATGTTCCTAAGGCAGTAAAGGCACTTCCAGCCTGTAGTCCACGATGGCTGTGGGAGGACAGAGCTCACTGCTGGTCCCTCGGTAAATATTCCACATTACTGTGCTCCAGGCCCTTCTGATACCTTTGCAGTCCAAGTGATAAACGTGGAACTGTCAGCTTTCAATGTTACTTGTTTCTCACCTCTTTCTTTATTTAGGGCCATTTATTTTAAGAGTTGGTTTTGTAACACGCTACTAAATGCAAGAAACTGTAATAGAAGTAATTATTGACACAGGGACTGGAAGCTGCATGGACCCATTAACAATAATAGCACGTACTGTTGATTAGTTGGAAAGCAATTCACCAAGGGATTGAAAGTAGGCAGCTGCTGCCTTTGAAGGATCCCAAGTTAAGTCTAACAGGCTGCTCTGCTTCCATGCCACCAGGAATATGTGTCTAAATTCTTGCAGTACTCGCTGCCCTGCATCAGTTCTGTGCCAAGCTGTGCCAGCAAAAGCTCTTGTAACTCTGAAAAAAAATAGCTTTTTTTATTTTAAGTTCCTTGGTACCAATTTATTTCTGAGAGGTCTAAAATAGAGGCAGACCAAGGTGCCAGATGCATCAATATAAATGATCTTGTTAATTACACTAAAAAGATAAATTCTAAATTCATGAATATACTTGACATACCTGTATGGTGTTACTTAACAGGCAAGGGTACACTTCCAGGAGGCTTTTTTCTTACAGGTTTTCTCCTTCCTCAGTACTTTAAGGAGCCATTAGCAAAGCAGGAACCTTGAACCTTTTGACAATCAATATATATATATATATATATATATATATTCTGAAATGTCTGACACTGCTCTGGTTCAATGGCAATGCTGCCCTTGATCTCAGAGTATCACTTATGTTGAGACTCATGGTCCCCATCAAGGTTTGGGGTTCAGCTTCATCCAGGAATGCAAGCAGAGTGAATGCAGGGACAGTAGACAAAGGAGTGAGATACAGTTCTATACAGTGGAAAAGTCCTTTTTCCCTCTGCATGCTCATCCCTGGAAACTGGACTGGCTTTCACTCCAGGCACACTTCAAGTCTTTAGCAGAAGTTCCCTCTCCACTGAGTGCATGAGTTTATTATTGCTTTTTCTGAAGTTGGGTACTTAAGAAGGATTAAGCCTCAATAGGTAAATTGTTTTCAGCTATGGAACAGTGACACATCATTAGTTCAGGCTGTGTGAGGAGGACAGAACACTCACCTTGTATTTAATGTATTCCAGGGCCTCCTGCAGAAGCAGAAGGAGTTGGAGAACACTCTGATTCCCCCTGTAGCTCAAGAGAACTTCATTCTGCCATTTTGAGAGGTACATGTGAATGTTCTGAATTCTTAACATGGAAATGCACAGCACTTTGCCACTGTAATTATGAACCATCTCTAGCTTTTTTTATGAAATTTAAATTATGAGAATTTTCATAGATTACAGGGTCGCATTTTTATACTGAAGGTACAATAAACTAATGGTGGTCTGTCTGTTCAGAATGGTCTTCAAGATGTAAGTGAATTTAATATAAAACACCAAAACACAGAAGAAAACTGTTACATGGGGTTTTGTAGACTCAAGTGTGTGTGTTTTGATAAATAAAAAGATTAAGATGTATTCTGAATGGCTTGGGTAGTCTTTGTTAGTATTTTTAACTGTAAAATACTGCTGGTACTTAAATATTCAGCCACCTTTTAGGCTGATACAGTGAATATAAGGGAGTTCCTTTTTCTATAAAGGTTATTTATTTGCCATATTTTGGGGGAGGGTAACAACTGCTACACTATAGTCTGGTAGTGGTTTGTTCTTAATTTGAAAAAATAAGTTAATCAACTGTTAACAGAGGGAAAGATTCAAGTTTAGGGAAAAGTCTACGGCTTTTGTTTGTTCGTTTTTTACAAGCTGCCCTTTTTTAACCAATAATATTTATCCCAACTAATTTAGTGAGTTTAGGAACATTTACTTTTAAACACTATCATCTGGTACCAAACAGCACATCGTGCACAAAAGCACTAAAATCAAATTACCACCAGGAGAACCCCCCCAAACACAGGACTTTGGACAACCTGAAGACAAGCAATAAAGAGACAGGAGTCTCTGGAAAACCAGCACTGGGGTAAAAGGGTCAGCTCCAAGGGGTACAACACCTGGAGACTCCCCAGCTCCTTCCTGCCAGCTGCTGCTTTCCACAAACCTGAGTCAGAGATGACGGACAACGTGAGGCAATTAAGAGAGATTCACCGGGGGTGGGGAGGTGGGGGTTGGAGTTTACAACTCAGCAGATGTGAAATTAAAAAAGACAGGATTAAGAAACAGATAAAACTCCGATGCCAGTGCCTGTTCACAAAAGAAGTAAACAACAAAACAAAACCAAAAAAAGCCCCTGAAAGCCCCAAGGATCCTTATGCTGAAGTGGGAAAGGATCGAGGTTTTTCTAATGCAAATTGAACTCCACAGTCATTAAAGTCGGGTTCGTCCTTCTCTCAGTACAATAATTACAATGGTCAGATAAAAGCTGTAAGGTCACTGATAGTGCTGCAGTAACACTGATAATTCTGTGCATTAAACCAAGTTTAGGTGTTTCTCCCATACTTTGCAAACAACATAAACCCCACAGACAATGCAAGGTGTTAACAAGTCCCTTGTGCATTAAGAGTTTATTCAATTTTTGTAATGGAACTGCACCATTGGTTACTCTAATTGAGGTATTTAGCCAAAATCCAGTATATTGTCATGAAAATAACTACATTGCCTTAGAGCTATGTAAAAACATTATACAAAAATTTTGTCAATGTCAAATAAATACATTAATATTTATGTAAAGAAAAGTGACTTGGTAACTCTTACAGTTAAAAAAAGAAAACAACTGGCTTTCACATATTTTAGGCAAACATTCAGTTTTACATTAAAACAGACCTCAAACTGAAGCCCAGGTAACAGGTCAAATACAAATGTAGAAACTTAAAAGTGCCAACAAACAAGATAATTCAAGTACAGTAAACGTTAAAAAATATATATATTTATTTAAACTTTCAGATGGTTCCAAGAGGGACAAGCCATCAGGAATTTAAATAGAACAAGAAAACATTGAGATAACAAGAACAAGAAACATTCTGCTCCAGAATAAAATAGAAATTGTTAATCCAACATTTTAGAAACAGAGAAGTCCACAGCAACTTAGAAAAAGAGACTTAAGAGTTTATTTCTGTTCTGAATATGGCCTGGAAGAATCACAGCTGCTGTCCCAGCCACCAGGCGATGAGGACTTTTCTGTATCCATGCTCTGACTGTAGGCAGAGAGAAAATAATTGCTCCCTTCTTGGTTTTGATTTGCAGAAGAAATTGGATATGTTGTTCCCAGAAAAGTCTGATGAGTGAGTACATTTAAGTGGCTGAATTGATGGGACATGTTTAATTGTCTGCTATAAACCGGGAAGTTACTGAAAGGAGTTTGTTCAACTGAATTGTGTTTTTCTCCCTCAGCAGAGCATGCTGTAGAACCTGGAGTAAGTGGCTGTTTCTCTTCCAAGTCACTTTTAGAAGTTTTTTCCACCAGGCCACTTTGTGCTTCGGAAGATAACTCTGTAACTGATAAGCAGCTTTCTTTACCATCTACTCCATGTGGGCCCTTGGCCTCTGTCTGCAAAGCTTCCACATGAGTATCATACTTAGAGGCATCACTGCAGATTTCTATCTGTGATATTTCATCCCCTGAATCCAGAGACATGTCCTCCTCATCCTTCTCATCCTTTTCTACAAGAACTACATTAAAAAAGAGAGAAAGTCCTATTCTATTGAAATACAAACTTGGGTTAAAAAGGCCATACACTACTCACAGCGAGTTACGTTTCAGGTCAGCAAGTCCAATAGCACTTAAGTCTTGGTCTTCTGCCACTCGTGTTCACTTACTCAACACACACACTTAACCCTCTGGGGGAGTGTCCAGTTACTCCGATTCTGCCCATTGTGTTCATATTTAGTGTTGGGAAATCCCAACTCCCAGCTCCAAAGGGGGCAATGTCAAAACAGCATCTAAAGTTACACAGCAGGTAAGTATTCGATTAAAAGAGTACAATAACTGACATCTCAGTACAGTTTATCTACTACAAGTAGATAAAGGTAGGTAGTAGAGAAAAGTTTATCCTTTTCCTGAAAAGATGGTAACATTACTCGGTATAGTACCTCAAGTACTATGTTAGCCTGGACCTTCTGTATTTAAGATCTCCTCTGGTGCTCCATCCCAGCTGCCTTTCCCCCATCATTTAAAACAGAAAAAGAGTAGCTGGAGAGTTGGGTTTTCCTTGCCAGCTGCAGTGTTCATTGACAAGAGTCAAGGCACACTGTCTGAAGGACCCCCACCCCACACCCCTAGTTAGGTAATGAAAGTTTAAATGTGTTCAATGTTACCTGATTGTCTTTGGTGAGCTTCAGAAGCAGGAGGACAGTTCTGCTCCGTGTCCGAGTTGTGATACCCAACGAGGCTTTTAAAGTTACACATAAAGTCATCAACAGTAGCAACCACTATTCCATTATCAGCATAACTTGAGAATGTTTTCAGGTTCTTTTCTAAACACATAAAAGATTTTGTATTAATGTTCAGCACCCATTATCAAAAAAGGGCAAGAGGTATTCACAAATTTGGGCTTTACCTGTTAAGAAGACAACGTGTCTCTGTTGTATGTTCTGAGCCTGAAGCCTGATAAGACAGTCTAGGTCTGGAGCATTTCGAGTTTGAGAATCACAGTTATGGTAAGACAGAATCTCAACCAAGTGCTTCTTTTGATAGGAGTTCAGAAGTGTGAGCAGACTCAGGGCATTGGCATTCATCCTGTAATGGGGGGAAAAGCTCAGTTACAAATACTCAGTCTAAATATTAGAAGACAAACATGAAAGGGAGTTACACTGAAGTGGGATTTGGAGCATAATGAAAAAGTTGAAGCATTTTAACAGGTGGTACTGACAAACATTACTTACCTCGCCAGCTCTTTCAGTTTTTTTTGTATTTTGCAGTGGATTTTCCACTGCCATTTCCCATCTGGGGTATTGAGAGCCTCCAGAAACTCTAAGAACTGCTTTAGTTTATCTGTTATGGAGATATTGAACAGAAGTTGAATTTTGTGGTATGTAAACTGAAAATACTGCTTCAGTATATACATAAAGCTGCTTTCTGTTTCCATCACAGCACAGTTACACAACTATTCAGGTTTTCTTCTGAGCAGACTGGCCAACAACTACCACAAAACTGAGCTGCTTTTCTGTAGGTCAGGTGCCCAACAGTGGTATCTAAAAGCTGATCTCAGTCATACATGGTCTGCCTTGCTAAAATATTTATTTCAAAAAATGGTAACTTCATTAACTATTCAATTTCAAATAAAGAAAAAGTGAAAAAAAGATAGGTTTTCAATATTCTCTCTTACCATATCTGTGCATTGAGCAGTAAGGAACAAAAGGTTCCATGTATGTAACTACACAATGTAATACAAACTTAAGACAAAACCTTCCCATTCAGATGTCCTTCAGTAAGGCCACTGAGGTGAGAAAAGAGACTGAATTAGCTGAACTTCTCAAAAAACATCACAGAAATTAGAAGACTTGATCCTTCACTGCAGTGAGCAGAGCACCTCTCAGGGTCTGAAGTGTCAGGCTTTTAGTCTGTTTTAAAGCTTAGGAAGCATCACACCTACCTGTAGTGATGGACTCTGGATTAAGGACAGATTCATCCGATACAACAAAACCCCCTGACACAAACAGTTCGTTGTAAGTGTGATTTTTCACATCATCCAAACTATCAACCCCTGCAAAGCTGACACAGGAGAGCCTCTTCAAAGTTACTAGGCATGGGATCTGTTTAAAAACATTAGAAAATCAGAGATGTGTACTCAAGGTCATACAAAAAACCACAACTACGGAACTTTCCCACTTACTAATGCCAAACACCAAATTTCAAAACACGTTTTCCAAGAATTACTGTTTTTTCTCTTGCCTGGGGAGGTGCTCTCTAAGGAACATTACAGGAATGAGACAAACAGCACCGGTTTATAAGCCCCAGCTGTCAGGAATATCTAAAGGTCATCTGAGAGCTGCCTTCACCTGTCATTAGAGCATCACAGAACTACTCAGGCCTCTCTACAGCTTTACAACTACTAAGAATAAACACACATTAGCACGTGTGGAGGGTGGAAGAAGTTGTGGGTACACGATGAACACAACCATTTTTACCACAACCATTTTGTTTCTTCAATCAGCAGCTAAACACAGGCCACTGTTTAAATGCTGTGCTATCAAGAGAAAGCAGCCTGGCTCAAAGTGAGCTTTGTAACACCAGTAACAACAGTTTTCTATAGCACACATTTACCTGTGTGGGACATACCTTATGGATGAGGTTGGCAATGTCTTCATTTTGGATGATGATCAACAGTTTATCTGAATTAGCTCTTCCTCTAGGGAACTGCTCTGGATGGCACTCTGTATTACCCAACTGTGTAAGGTATTCCTACCACCAAATAAAGAGAAGATGGGAAAAAAGTGAATAGTTTGGTCAAGATGATGACCATGGCAAGTAAGTTTTCCACTCAGATGTATCTCAGAGGGAGTGGCTTCCTTGTCTCTCCCATACATGAACCAGAAGGATGCAGCAAAACACAAACTGGCTATTTCAGCAAGTCTGTCGTGGCCAACTGACAGTCTATCAAACAGAGTTTTCAAGTACAGCCAGAAGTTTTTATTATTTCACTTTCAACTTACCTGTTTTACTACAGAAGAACAGTGATCTCCCACAGTTATCTGTACTAATAACGAGAGGGGAAGGGGGAAAAAAATCCAAAGGCACACACAGCGACTTTTCACACATTCTTTCTAAAATGGTAAGCTATCACATTTTTTCCCTTATTATCTTTTTTCTGTAAGGCCACCCCCTGGCAGGATGTTCAGAAAGAACCAACCTACAGCCTGTTCTGCTTTCCAACTGCAAGAAAAAGACTTATGTAAAAGCTAAATATAAGCAAGACTACCTCAAAAGGTCAAACAAGAAATGGGACAGGACAGCCTACTTTCACAATTCACTTTCACAATTCAACCTTTTTTGAAATAATGTCAGACCACTTTATGTTTGCAAGTCCAGTTTCATACATTTGAATTTGAAAGGCACTCGGACAATATAGAAAGGTTGAATTGAAACAGATTTACCTTGATTTCTCTGCAAAGAACACTTTCGTCCTCTTTATGAATATAAAATTTGACAGTATTTTTCCATACAACTTTAAAAATTTTGAACAAACTTCTAAATACTTCAGGTTTTACCCGTCTTATAATATCAGTAAAAGCTGATTGAGTTGAAATGTTCAAGTTCTCAGGGGATTTCTGTGTCTTCTCTGGTAGTTCAATCAGATCCCCACTGGAAGAGGTCTGATCCTCTGGTGTAGCATTCACATGATCCATTTTCTCGTTCCCTAGGGGCAAGCTCGATGAAGGCTGCTCACTGCACTGCAGATGTCCCAGCAGGTTATTGCCCAGTGGCTCTGGTACCAGCGCTGTGGCAGCATCCCTGCACACAGACAGCGTGGCGGGCACAGCGTTCCCTGCAGGGTTGCTCCCAACTTGGGATGGTTCAGGACTAGAATAAACGGGCTGAGTGTGCTTAATGCAGGAAGCCAAAATGACACTATTCAACTTTTCACTGAGTGTCTCTATATATTCTTGCACAGACACCTCTGATGCCTTTAAACATATGTATTCAGATAGTCTGCTTATCCTCTCTCGGGCAGAGAAGACTGGTGTGGGCACCCCGCTAACGTACGCGATGTTCTTCTGCCGCAAAATCTCTTGAATCTTTTGTGCAAAGAGATTATATTCTTCTAACAGGGTCGTTTCTATTACTGCACTAATGGAATGCTTAGCTGAAAAAGGCTGCTCTGTTAGCCCATACTCATCTTCAGGTTTCTCCACTTGTCCTGTATAATGTCCATCTTCTGCTGTCCCCTTTTGTGGGTCTGAAAATGGAGAGTATGGAAACTGGTCATCAGAACTTCTCTGTCTATTTATTACCCGAGGGTCATTAGGAAGGGCATCCGTTGGTGGCAAATACACCAGTAACTCTTCTGGTGATTTCAGACCTAGACAGGAAGAGTTCATCATTATCATCATCATCTCACACACAACTCATACCCTAAAACCTCCCAAACAGCTTGAAAACAGCATTACTGTTGTGTCTCCCCCACCAACCAACTTAAATCCAAAGACTCAAGTGTTAGTCTGCTGAGGTTTAGAAGCACAGGACATTTAAAACTCCTAAAACAGTGGAACAATACAAAGTTTGCTGAGAAAGCAGAATACAAGTTTTCCTAGAGATAACATGATTGAGCATAACAGCAACTGCCTCAGTTACAAATTAAAAATCAAATCAGAAATCATGCAGGGTGACAAATTATTCAAATATTTTCATTTGCTACTAGGTTATAATCCTCACTTTCAAAAAGCTTATTTTAGCCACATGTGACCTTGTGGAGTTGGACTGCACACTGCAAGTCTGATCTCACAACTGTGAACACAAGGTTTTTAGCTTAAAAAGAGAGGATGTCAGTCTGATGGTGATTATTGCCACAGCTTCAGTGATGGTACCAGGAGTGCTGAAAGCCCCTCATAACCCAAACCTCAGATCCTTTCTGCAGCACTCAGTTTCTTCCCCATTCTCATTCAAAACTATAGTTTTGCTTGTTTTTAAAGCATTTACATTTCTAAATTATGCAGTATGTAGGCAAACCAATATTCTCCACCAGTATTTGTTTTCATCCAGCAGATTTCTGTATTAATCAAATACCAGAAACAACTGCACAGGCAGCGCTTGTGTACCAACATGTGACCCAAAACTAGGATCCATTTACGATACAAACCTTTAGAACATGTTTTCAATCACTATTTGTAGGAACAGAGGAATTAAACCCATCTTACCTGTAATTGGAATAAGTTTCCAGTGCATTCCAACTTCTGTGTTATCTGAGTTGGGATGCTGACTGCCATACACATATTCTACAGGTACATTGGGACTGTAGTCTTCAAAGGTACTTAGGCTTCCAGTGCTTGCTTCCTAAAAAACAATCAACCATTTCTTTTGGGTTTGTTGGCCATTAAGCTTTTTACACTCTGAAGAGCTGGCAGTAAGAATGCACCTGAGTTCACCAGCACGTCGGCACTTCTGCCATCAGCGAAGTCCAAGTTGGAAATGTTTACAGGAGGTACTTTCCAGGTCTACCATGAAGTAACTAAGGCAGTCTGAGCACATGCCTTACAGTACAGAAGCTGGGTGGGGCAAAGAGGAAAGAAGGGGAAAACTGGCTGCTCCCCAGCCCTTCTCAGGCTGATGTCTTGATAACTGACTAAGGCCATGAGATGCTGGCACTGCTGAGGCACTGCCTGCAGCTCGTACTGGGCCCTTAGACAATCCTATTTCACCTCACATTCCAGATGGTTAGAAGCAAAACAGCACAGAGATTACAGGTAGGACAAACTCCTTCCTGCTCTGTGACTTAGAAACTGGGCTCTGTGTGTAGGTACCAGTACAGAGATAACAGAACACTCCTGCAGGGTCATGTGCTGGAGCCCTGTGATCCCTGAGCACAAGGGCCTTCTGCAAAGGGTGTTCTGCCCGTTGTGTGCTGTCAGAAGTCTGCCTGGAACTCGTGTACACCACTGCACCGAGAAGGCACACAAAGGGTGCTGGGCATGCAGGTAAGTGCTCAAAATTCTTCAACTCTGCTCCCTTTTTATTACAGAAAGAGTAGATATAAGGAACCAGGAAGACACACTTCAGAGTGAAGAAGATTTCTGTGTATGTTCCTACCAAACTTCTTCACAGAGAAGTCAGTACTTATCTAAGTTTACCTGTGTAAAAAAATAGAATGTTTTTTTCATTCAGTCTCATGCTATTTATGAAAACAATACATTTGTTATCAGCATCTTGGCACTTTCACTTACTTGCAGCTGTAGTGTGTGTTCAAAGCCTCGTTCGTTATCTGGAAGCCGCAGATCAACATTGTAGGGCAGACACGTCACATCGGGTTCCAGAACCACTGGGCTCTCAGGGTCCTTGAAGTTAACACTGTCAGCCTGAGCAGTATTAGGAAGCTCATGATCCTGAGCTGGAATGGATTCATAATCATAGTTTTGTCCCATATCCTCTTCCATTTCATCAGTGCTTAATGCTAAAGCTTGATTTACAGACTGTGCCAGCGAGGAATCCAAGTGTCCTCCAGTAGCCAGTGTTTCCAAGAGCATTTTAATGAGGCCATGTGTGTCAGCAGCAGCAGGGTCGGATCCATCTTGCTGCCTGAAGTCAGCATCATGTCCACCCAGACCAGAATTAGTTGAGAAAACAGAGTGTGGTGAATCCGAGGTTCTGCCCCCTTGGAATAGGGCGAGGAGGGAAAAGTAATCCATTACCAAGTCTTAAAATAAAACCAAAACCAGACCCCCCACCCAAACATCTGCCACATAGCCACAGTCTCACTCTTTAGCATCAATTCATACTGTACACATACATTATTTTAATTTTTTTTTTAAACAGGTAAATGTTGACAAAAGGGCAGTTTCCAAAGCTAGTACTCTCCCAGTTAAATAACTACCTTTTTTAGGTCACTCAATACCACGCTATTTTATGCTTTAATAGAAGTCACATACTATGATCTAGGTATTTTATGGAGACCTTACCAAATTCGCATCACTTGCTGAAAGAAAAGATTAGTTTGAGCACAGTATTTACTTCTCCCCATCCTATCCCTGTTGCTTCAGAAGCTGATGAGTAAATTAATGTTTAAGTTATGTTACATTAAGGATAGTTCTAAAACTTACCATGTCTCTTTATACTGAAAAAACCCTTTAGAAACAGCGTTCTTATTCTTGCACTCATGCCCTTGGATGAGTAAATACCATAGCTGTTTATTCTTCTCAGGGCAAGACAGGCTAAGCAACTACTTTAAGTATCTGATTAATCTCTAAATCACTTGTCATATATGGAAACATGGAATTGTGGAGTGCCATTTGACTAATAAAAATCTAATCATGCTGAGATACTGAAGCTCACAAAACTTTAGGTAAGACTTTTTGCAAGACAAACAAATGACTTCCAGGGTTACATAAAACCATGGAATTCAAACCATAAATAGATGGTACCTTTGAGGGAGATAAGTCAAAATTTACTTATGCACAGACACTGTTCTGATGACCAGGTAGAAATGCATTCACATATTTTACATGTATCTTTTGCCCCTCTCAAGAGGGCAACTTATTTCTAAGATCAGTCACTTCATCTTCCAGAGTGATTCATGTACACGTGAGTGTACATGAGAGTGACTGGTGCTTGATGTAAAACTCCTCTTCTTTGTGCCACCCCGCTCCTCAGTTTTGCCCCTTCTGCAGGAGGCTTCTATTATTGCCTTCGGAAAACGGTCAGGGAAACAGAAATCAAAGGGGTTTTTTTTCTGGTAGATCTTATGTCAGATGGTATCTGTGATAATTATCTGAGGTTTGGATGTAGATAATATATCTATAGTTCAATCTCAATACTATTGTTTCCTTTGTCCCACTGCACACATTATTTCAAAACTTAACTGTGCTGCTTCCCTTCAATCCAAACTTCTGAGGTATTATATAGAGTACTGGAGCCATAAAGAATTACAGCAAAGCCTGAAGTCAAACTCTGCAGAAGACATTATGGTATCAAGTCTGCTGAGTACTTTGTATTAGAAAGACTTTGGACAGCTCCACGACTAAGCAAACTCTTGGGAAATCTGCCTTCTTCCCAAAGAGGCAGAACAAAAGCAACTTTCATAACAATTCCTGTTAACTTGTCTCTTAAAAAGAGGCAAATTACGTAAAAATAAACTTCCTCTCTATTGGTAGATGTCAGGCCAATGTTCAAATGAACCACCATGCACAAAATATTCAATCTATAAAGATTAAATGTGCTTTGAATTACAACGTTTAAAGAAGAACACTAAACAAAGACTTTCTTACCTTCGTAGTGACAAATATTCTCTGAAGATTCACTCCTTTTTAAGCATTTGTGCAAAATTTCAGACTCTTTTTCCAGCTTTCTTTTCAGACCACTTCTGATTCTGGGGTCTTCAGAATCAGAATCTCCACCTGCATTTTTTTTCCTGCACTGGATTAAGTTAATAAGTACTTTGAGTCTTTCAGTATCATAATCTCCAGAAAGAGGCAGCTTTTGTTTGGCAGGAGTGGCTTCATATTTTGCATGGATTCTTTTCCTGCATTTTGCTTTGGCAAAATCTGAGTAGTCTTCTGTAGCTTCATAGTCTGAGATGGGACTGAACTGCTGGGGTCTCTGATTCCTTTCCACCAGTTCCTTAGCTCTGGAAAGAGGCAGCTGATACGTCTCACAACCAAAGATATAGCTTTGCAAGCAGCCATCAATATGAGATTTAAATCTTGGAGCAGGATAAAGAAATCTTTTGTCATCCAACCGTGACGAATACTCACGTAATTTAAACTCCCTACCTCTCAGAACGCCACTGAAGAGCTTTTTCAAATACTCATTTATATACCTTTCCACAACAACATTGAAGTCTGGACTAGTGTCTTTACGAGCCTGGATTAAAGCAAAATGTAGAGACGAAATAAAACTTGCGAATTCTGGAATGATTTCTTTTTTCATGTGAAGCCACGGGAGGTGAATTTCCAAACGGAACACTTCTGTGTCCTGCCGCAGGAGAAGAGGGAATTCACAATTAAGATCAAATCATGAAGCTATCAATAAATGATGACTAGTTAGCAATATTCTGTATTAATACGTATTGGGTGAAACACAGTTTGGAATTACTGTGGAGAAATAATTCAGAACCCAGAGAAGTTTGGGTCTTCTTGTGAAGTAACCAGCTTTAAAGTCTACTTAGAACTCAACCTACTCACAGTCATGATGAACTGCTCATTTTCAGAATTTGGTAGCAACCTGTGCCCTAGATACATACAGTCATCATTTCCAATCTAAACTGCTCTACTGAGCAGATGTTCTGTCCTTAATGTTTTGATGGTTTAAGAAATCCCTCATTATATTAGTTATTCCCACTGCACAGATGTCTTGGAATACTGACACTCAATTATAACAGAATACACAATCAAGAAATTTGAACAAAGTTTTACTTCTTCAAATATGAACCTAAAATGTGTGATATTTGATTTTGTGAAGAAATAAATATTTTTGAACACCATCACCATGACCATAATCAATACAAACTGTTACTCCTAGTTTACAGTGACTGGCTGTAACACTCCAAGGTCTTCAGCAGAATATAGTCTATGTTTAAATAAGTGTGTACAGAACACTCTCAACAGGGAACACACTCACCTATGCTAATTACACCTCTAGGCTCTGGAAACAGAAATAATGCATGAAGCACACGGGACCATCCAGCTTGGTGGTCTAGAACACAACAAACCAAAAACAGTTACAAAGGAGAGCACCACTATGTGTCAAAAGACAATCTAGTACTCAAACCAAACCACCCCCCACAAAAAAACCCAAAACAACAAAACCAACTCAAACCCAGAAAGCACAGAGCAGGCTTACCATAAGGGGACATCATTTGCGAAGGAGAAAGGAGAAAAAGAAATCCTCTGTCCTGAAGTGGTTTCACAAGAACCTGTTTTCAGGCAAAAAAAGAACAAACTGCTTTAATCAGAGATGTTTGCCCACTACAAATACTCTTACTGACTGTATGATAAACTCTATCGTGAGCAGAGGAGAGCTCTGACACAATGCTTTAGGATATGCCAGCTAAGGGATTCCAGTGGGATCATGGATCTTTTAGTATGCCTCAAATTACTAGTTAGTAAAATTATTTCTAAAACCACGAATAGTCAAATCACACTCACAAGTTTCTCCTTCTCTAGTTTTTGAAGTAAACCCTCCAAGTGACTCCCAGAACGGGACTTCTCCACAGCTTCATACAGGCTACAGTACAGGCTATTCTTCGACACTGACACAGCACAAGGGGAGAGAATAAAGGTAGGAAAAAAAAGAAACAAAACAGTAGTTCAGAAAAATTGAACATTCTGAATTTAAAAAAATGAAGGTAGAACTATTTACCTTCTTTTCCTCCTTGATAAGTTTCTTTTAAGAACAACTCTGGTGAAATTTTTTTCTTCAGCTGATCAATGCTGACAACCTTTTCAACCTCAAGCTTCTCAGGACTGGAGAAGAAAGGTGGGAGAAGGAAAAAAAAAATAATAAAGGCCTCCTTTTTTACCTCCCATAGTTCTACCCTCAGTGACCTAAAACTATTAGTCCAAATAAATTATTTTTAATAGCACGTGTTTATCTCATGCCAGTGGTGTTTATTCCTGCAAAGCAGTGTGTGCCACTTCAATGGAAAAAGAAAAAACCACAAACAACAAAACACTGAACAGCAAAGAGATGTTGACAGTTGTGTGCCTGAACTCCAGGAAGATCTGGACATGCATGACTCCAGTCCAGTCTGACGTATTTAAAGCACTTAGTATTTTAGATTTTCACCTGAATATATCCCAAATCCACTAGAAAGAGTGTTAACACAACAGTATTTTAGACTTCTTGTTCAAATGGCAATACTCACAGCTTGCATGGAGGGAAGGAACACGTTGCTGATTTTAAGGAAACATGGCACACAAGTTTGCCCTTATTCCAAAGCTGTCCCCTCCATACTGTAACAGCAGATTTCTCTAAAGTAAGATGGAAAAAGGCAGACTAAGTGAAACAACTTGTTAAGTGGGACTGGAAGAAACTGGCAGCAGAGGCTGCTGAATTCACAAAACCAGTTTAGGGAAAATTTTATACTAATACCACACCAGACAATGTTAAATGTTAAAAGTTAACATTTAACAATGTTAAAAGGTAACAGGATGTTTTCAAACCTGTTATGTTTTGAACAGCTTAAGCAGAGCAAAGGAGGATGGATGTTAACTACACCTGTCTATATAAGCACACCTTTGATCTCAACATCTGAGGAATGATATTCTCTTTCCTTACCTTAACTGTCAACCACTTTGATACATATTAGTTTGGCCTGAATGAGGTTCAAAAAAAAGCATGACAGAGGATCATATTATTTGAAAGGCCATTGAACAGGAGATTCAGGAACTGAAGACCAGTTCTTACTACACTGTAAATAGAAAAGGAGGGGAAAAAAGACTTTGATTTTGTTCACTTCTGGTTTCTTCTGGTAAAAGAAAATACTAAGGTGTCTGTTCCATCATCCAGTATCAGGAAGGGATGCCTGCAATCAGCATGGTACAGGATAACACAGTCAGCATAACTAAGCCAGTTAAACATAAAATCACATGGGGAAAAACATCCCAAACTTTCCATGTTTGTATCATAAAAACAAAAAAAATGGAGTTCATTCTTACCTGTTCTTCTGTCTGTGTTGAAGGTGTTTGGTCTAAGCAAAAGAAGACAGAACGACTGGGTTGGAAGAGAAAATTCTGGCCACTACATTTTACAATAAGGATACTTGTTCAGTCTAATAATAAAATAATGAAAATAATAAAACAGCACCACTGGTATCTGACTGTAACCTCAAGCTATCACCACTGCAGTATCTTGTGCTATTTTAGATACCTTGATAATGGTTTTTAGCACTCCATAGTCGAGTTCCCACATCTACATGCCTTCCTATCAGCACAGCTATCACATGCTACCTGCCCATTTAGATATTCTCTCCACCAGCAGTAAGACAACAGTGAAGAGTTCAGTGACAAAATACACAGAATATTATTTTAGAACACCAAGCAAGACAATGTTGTGAACATTTTTATGTCCATGAATTTCCTCAGTTTGGTAAAAACCCCCCACCGTACATGGATTCCACCTAGGCAGAAGCCAAGTAGGTGAAAAGAGCAGCACAAGTGCTTCCCACAGAGGACAGTCTGCTGCATAAAACCAATTTTGCCACTTCTTGCTTTGCATTAGAAGTATTTATTATGCTAAGCCCCTGTGATATGCCCATTCATTTCAGCACTGTTCACTGTAATCAGTTTTAAGCTACTGCCAAGAGCTCTGAATTCTTCCTGTTGCACGCAGTTCCAAAACTCATTTCCCAGCTTACCTTGATGAGGACAAGAATTTTGGTCCTTGCACCATGTCACCTTTGTAAGTGAATGAAACAACAGCATAAGGACAAACATGTCTTGGTCTTCGCCTTGTGTCATCAAAGTCATATTCATAAAAATAGTACTAGGGAAAAAAAAGCAAGCACAATGTTAAATTACAAAGCATAATGTTAAATTACAAGTCTGGACCAACAGTCAATTTCTTTAAAAGCTGGTATCTAAAATAAGGAAGCTTTTAAATGATGTTCTTTTATGAACTTTATAATACAACCTATTAAGGTAGGTTTTTTACCTTCTCCCTCCTTTATCAACCACTGACAGATGAACACTGCTTCAGGAGCTACTCAAGAATGAAAAATTAATTTTGCACCATTTCTTTGAAAGTATATTCTTGATGAAGTAAGGGACAACTAACAGAAAACAAAAAAAATTTTCACTGAGGAAAGTAAGCATTGCAGTGACTTTTGAAGTCTATCCTTAGTTCAGTCACAAAATTCTAATGTTAAATATTAATTAAGACAAGTTTGCAATGAGAAATGAAAAAATATGTTCATTTTGCAGCCATCTGATTCAGTGCCCAGCTCTTATTTACAGAAGACCTCCACCTCCACTCTAATCTGAGGGAGATCTCCTCAGGTTCAGGTGCACACAGGGCAGCAGGAGAGGCTGACACGTTGCTCTGCATTCTCTAATGCAGCACCTGTGGGTCTCTGCACACCCCCAGTGCAGCTCTAGGGGATGTACTCCGTGTTTGCTGCACTGGCAGTGATTTGATCCTTCCAGAAGTCCTCCCTGGGAAGTTTCTGTAACAGCAGTTACCACATGCTCAGCTTTACCTGAGTGAACTCATAGGCTCGATAATCCAACAGGGAGTTTATTTTATGTGCATTCTTTGCAAGGTGACACTCGTGCTTTGGGGTTGGATCTAACATGTTCTTTGCAGTTGATTCCATTGCTTTCATACCCATGTGGACATAGATGCTTTTCATTTTTCCCTGTAATAAAGCAGAAGAATTGTAAGCAGAAGCTTTTTCCTGAAAACTGGCACATTGCTTCAAGTACCAAAGGAAGGAAGAGCAGGGAAAATACAACAGGCTATTAAAAAACTAACTTATAGAAGTATATTATTTTCATACTTTCAAAGAAAATTAATTTTTTCCTTTTATGAAAAATTTATTATGCTTTATTTAAGCTCAATGTCAACACTGGATTTTAAACCTAGGAGGACTCTAATTTCTCTATAAGCAGGTGATTTTGCAAATTAAAATTAAGGTTAAAATCACGTACGTGTTATCAGTAAGCAATACAATCCTTCAAGAATAGCAAGATAAAATTACCTTTATTATTTTAAAAACAATCACATCTCCAGTTGCTCCTGCTTCTAGAGGATTAGGCTGCAATAAATCAGCATACTTGGAGACATATACACCTGAGAGAGGTATAAAAAAGACCCAACAAAATACATTATGCTAAATGTTAAAACATATTAGAGGTTTAAAAACCATTACATGGGAATAAAGATCAATGTAGATCAAATAATAAAGACAAAACTGACACTCAAGTGCAAAGGTAAAATAATTTTGTTCTTTTCGACATTTAATTATTACATAGATTTTACGGCTTCAAACACTGTCCTTTGCTAGTCTGGCTGACTACCTCAGATCAAAAACTACAACTGAACTCAGGAACTCTTTGCTTTGGTTCCTATCATTCCGAGTCTGTATTTAACAGCTTCGGTAAATTGGCTCCAGAACCTTCACCAGCTCACCAGTAAAAAATTATATGCTCACATACCTTTGTTTTCCTCCACCTCACCTCTGTTCTGCCTTCAATATTCATCTCAGTGTCATGCTATTTTTACAGACTCTTCCAAGTCTCCAATCTATCCATGCTTTTGTTGGATTTGTGGACTCGAGAATTTTAGTTCTATCCACATCACTACTGAGCTGAGCTGCTGCGTGCAGTGGGTATTTGTGAGTGCACACATGTGTAGGTACAGACACAGGCACACAGCCACGCACACCCACTGAGCTCTCTGGCCTCCCAGTTTTACTGGCAAGCTGTGGTACATTGGCTTGACTTAGGCCAAACTGAGAATTAGTTCTCCCCTTTGTGTGAGGTTTCCATGCGAGCATGTTTCTCTTGGTAGATCTTTCACATGCTGGTACCATCAGAAGGCCATCAGAAGAACAGATCACGTTTTCACAATTGCAACATAAGATTATGTTCTCACAGCAGCATATCCTCTGTATTAGCACTATAAATCCCTACACCTTTGGGAAGGGAATTTAAGTGAACTGGTCAAAAACAGAGTTATGAAATAATGATCTGATGTCTGTCTACTTTGCTAAAAATACCTGGCTGGGATATTCCCGCAGTAAGTGATAGAAAAAGGACTGCCTCGCATTATCAGCCTCGCATTATCAGCCTCGCATTATCAGCCTCGCATTATCAGCCAACTGATACTAAATAACACCAGCACTTATGAGCAGGAGATAGTTACCCTTGGAAGGGCTGCCGAGGATTGATATTTCAGAGTGCCCAACCTGCAGCCCCTTTTCACATATGTTTTGGATCTAAAGAGAACAGACATTTTTTTAAGCAACTTTATCAGGAAAGCCAGGATATGAACAGAACAACAAGTGAGGAAAGACAATTACAGAATTCAGATTTTTAGAAAAAACCCCAACCCTTACAGAGGCAAGACTAGTCTGAATTGCTTTATAAAACTGTTAAACTGTGCAAGTCAAACAGTGAGCACAAAGCAGTTACACAGCCCCACCTGTAACTTGAAAAACAACAGCCTCCCTGTAAAACACTGTTTATGAACGTTACTTGCTTGTAATACAGAAAATTTTAATATTTAAAACAGAAATAAACCTGCCAAATGACCACATGCTTAAGAAATCCTGGTTCTATAACAGCAGAAAAAGCAGAGAAAATTATTATATTATATCCCTTTCCCATTTCTCTACACCTTCCGGTGCTGAGATGAAAAAATTAAAAAAACTAAAAAAAAACCCCACATCTTCTCACTGACAGAGGAGGAGAAGGCATTTCATCTGCAGTGTTTCAGCTCCTCACCTGACACCGATCCACCAGCAGGAAGGCGTAGCTCTCCGAAAGCTCCTTGTCCAGGTGACCGTCACATTTCAGCTCCCGGCGCTTCTCTGTGAACTGTTATTACAGAAGTTCTTAACAGCGGCACACACATCACTGCTTCACACTCGAGGCTCAGGGTTTTAAGCCCCCATCTATGTTAGCAGATTCACAGCTTCAAAAACTAATCAGAATATAATCCAAATGACACTCTGGTGTGCTAAAATTAAACTTCAAACTCATTGTATCTGTGGGAAACATAATTGGCTTCATCTGCCCAAGAATTTTTTTGGGTTTTTTTTTAAGACAGAGACACTCTTCAAACAAACCTGTGCAGTAACATTTTAGTATTACATTTGTTAGCAGAACTAGCTAGAACCATCCAGCTCAATGCCTTCCACACCATTTCTGAAACTCCAGAAAATATGACTTTTTCTTTTTCTAGGAAACAGATTATTATCTCTTATACTGTGCATGTACTTCTGCAGGTGCAACTCCCTGCAACTGAGGTGGTTTTCACCAGCTGCAATAATCTTGAGCTGTAACCATGAATATTTAATGTTATAGCTGCAGAAAATGCTTCACTTTACCTTAAAGCTTCAAGATAGTAATTACAGCAAATAAATTCTATACTCAGTTGCTTCATCTGTGAAGATTTTTGGCACTGGGAATGAAAACTGATTTCAGAGTGATGGGAACAAGCCAAGGCTGGATTTAAGAGGCACCAGCAAAGGTACAGAAGTGCTTCAACCAAGATGCTCCACTGACTACTTCGTAGTCAACTACTTGTTAACAACTTGTTGAAGGACTTCTTAGAAAACAACAAATCTACAGAGACTATGGAAATTTAGTATCAGGCATATATTTTAATCTGAAGTTTCACAGGAAACATCAGGCCTTGCAAAGAAGACATCTTTCCAGATTCTTAAAAATATATAAAAGTTTAAGAAAATTTTTGGAAACTAAAAATACATAAGAGAGAAGTGGTGCCACATACAATTTTTCTTTTAGTCTTTTTTGAGTCTCTGGCAGGTGAGAGTTTACATTTATGCAGTAATACACCTGACTGAAAAACAGCTGCTTCCATTTCTGGGGATGGGAGTTTGCAATTAAGGATTAAGCACACAGGTAGAAAATAATCTCCAGGTCTTTGCCTCTAGATTCAGAAAAAATACTGTCATTTGACTGCTACCTTATTCTTGAGGAGAAGCAACAAATATACTCACTTCCTTTTCCAGCAGTTCACTATGAACTAAGCTGGCTCTCTTGTAACGAAAATTGGACACAGAACTTGGATCCAGGTAAGATGAATGCAGAATCCTCACAATATCCTCAAATTCTCGAGAACCTGGAGCTACTGGCTGAAAGAGTGCTACAAAAGAGAAGAAATAAAATAATAAGCATCAATATACATGTGGAAAAAAATCCAAAATTTTCCAGTTCATTGACAGTTTATGCATGAAGACAAATGGTTTGTGATTCAATTTTGAACATAGAACACCTAAAATATTTGGAAAAGATGGACTTTGGAAAATTTATCTTTAAGTTGCCTAGAATTATAGCATCTTAAAATAACCCCAACACATTTCTTCATGCTTTTTTAACATTACCCTTGAGCAGCTGCTACTTGTTAGAAGTTTATAAAGGAAGCACCTCATGTCTGAATTTACCCTTTGAAAAACACCTAATATGTATTGCAAAACACTGTAATTAAACGTTCAGAACTGTAATTAAACTAATCAGCTCTTTTAGTTAAGAAGCAGGAACAAATTGTTCCAATAAAAACCTCAACAAGAGTTTCATAGCTTGGCCTTGCTTCAGAACCATTATGGGTTTGTGTTTGTTTGCTTATGGCAATTAAAGCTCCATATGAATAAATTCAACACCGGTTTAAGAAGACAAGTAAGTTCCCATTATTAAAAAATCCCACTGCCTGTGTTCATGCTTTATGATCTCATCCCTTATGATAATGGCTTTAAAAGGAAAGCCCTTCCTTTATCTGCTGTTACAGCAATTCTCCTTCTGGGCAAACCTCAGGGATTTCCCTCAGGGAATCTTTCATGTCCCCAAGCTCCTTTATCTGTATTTGGATATCAAAGTGACAAACTGATCAGAACAATCCCAGAGTGAGCCAGCAGAGAATGTGAGCGCAGATTTTAAGAGTAGTGGCTGGGAAAGTAACATCTCTGGGGGAACTGAACTAGTATAACACAAAAAAAGTGGTTTTTCTCCTCAGGGTAACTTCCAAACCATGCACCAGAAGTGCAGAATTTTTACAGTAGTTCCATTAGGAAGAACTACAACAGCACTAGTGTCACAGAAAAAGACCATCTACCATTACTCTAACAGCCAATTAAATTTAATTACATCTTCAGAGTATATTCTTCAATTTCATTAAATAATAGGGCAGTTTAAATAGCAATCTTTTCCTCATTTGCAGGAAATATTTACTGCATTGGCCTCTATATAAAACAAATGTTCCTAATGAAAACTGCTTTGTGTTATGTAGTAAAGCTGCATTGACACACACACTTGAGGATGTAATACCACATGGGCACACTAAGGTCAAGCAATAATTCCAACACCAGCACAACAAGTGGTTTTGTAAGAGAGTAAGTTCTGAAAGAGATTAAGAAATCATGCTTTTATAACATCCTTTTTAGTAACACCACCTTCACTCTTGAAAGGCTGACAGCAATATGGGGGGAGAGATAACTGGAAGTGAATGGAATTTGCAACTTAGCATTACTGAGTGTACTTGTACTGATAATAAAACAGAAAACAAGCCTACTATAGGTATAAAAAAGTACTGGACAAGCACCTCCTGCCCCACCCGTCCCCAAACGGCTCTCAGGCACTACAGCACCAGGGTTTCGTAACGACCTGTCAGAAAGATCCGAGTTTCACATGCTGCCAGCTCCTCCAAAGGACCAGTCAAGGCAGAAAGTTATCTCTGCCAGCTGCTTGGCCAGATTTCCTGCTTTCTTAACAGCGTTTACCGGACCTTACCCCTTCCCCCTCCTTGCCCGAATTACTAGCTCAGTGCAAACCAACCTCTCCCTTCCACGTGGAGCCCCAGTAAGAGAAGGTGCTATAGGATCAGTGAGAGAGCGACCACAACGCATACACAACATCTTAACCGTCTTCCCAGATCCAAATCTAGGAAGAGCCACATTATTCCACCAATTAAGATGCTGTCATACGTGCAAGAATTGTCAGCTATGTCCCCATTTGTGTTTAAACATTTCCTGCTTCGTGGAAAGCTCTGACAGGCAAGCTCAGACTTGCCCAAAAGCAGCAAGTTCCCCTTCTCCTGCTGGGAAGAACCCACATAAACTGCTATACAACCAGCTTTTAACAGCTTTATGGAAGGGTTCTGCTTAGTCCTTAAATTATGGAATACAGGAAATTAAAATTTTTTTTTAAGATTGTTGCAGGTTTTTCTCCCAGAATTCAAAGCACTGCACACTTCAGGTTCTTATTAAAAACGTGGGACACCGAGGTGCAGGAAGGCACTGCTTTTCAGTTTGGCACCTACGCAGTGTTCAAGGGCAGCGACATTCGAAAACCTTCCTGTCCCCACAGCACAGCCTGTACCTCACTTAACGGAAGGAGTTCAGAAATAAGACAAAAATAAATGTTAAAAAGGAGAACTACTAAACTAGACCTCCTCAGCATCACCAAAGCCTGTTGCTCCCAGGCAAATGATGCAATCACTAAGCTTATTTCCAGTCCTACATCAAAGAGCAGCAGTGTGTACAGATGCATCTTGCAGGCTTGCTGTACAAACCCGAGGGGGGTGTGCTGCACCTCTAGTGACCTGTGTTAATTAAACAGTAATTAAAGTAAGGACTAACCTGCAGCATCCTTATAACACAAGTCAATTACTGTGGGGTTTGCTGGCTTGTTTTGCATAAGTAAAAATAAGTAAATAAATACTGTGTTTGTTCAGCTTCTACCCAGGGCATTGGAACTTGTGTAAGTATTTTTCAGTGGAAACTGAGTTAATGAGTACAAACTAGTCAGGGACAGGCACTAGACCCGATGTTTGGATGCATGTCATGCCGTGGTTCTCTTTCACAGCTGTCTGATGCTTCAACTTCAGAAAACAGATTGGAGTTAGTGAGTTTGTTGTTTTAAGTCAGAACGTGAAGACAGAGACATCCTCCTTAAGAAATCCTGAACCAACTTTGAAGTGAAGATAAGTAAATTACTCATGTTCTTATCAGCTAAGTGGGCAGAATGCTAGCACTCTTCACACACGAGTGCTCCTGCCGCAAAAACTCGACTGAGAAACACCATTTTTAAGTCTTTTTTTTTTTTTTTTTTTGGTCCATTTTTTAAGACTAAGACCAAAATTATGTGGTGTAAATGAACCATAATCTTTATGACTTTTTCAGCCCAAAATGTCTTTTGCTCTCAAAAGACCTAAACAGTTATCAAGTTAAAGGACTGGACTCCCCATGCAGCAAACAGCAGATAGACGCTGTCTACCAAAGATATGGAAATTAGAAAAGACAAGGCAAAATGATTAAGTAGAAAAGGGACAACCTGGACTTCCAAGCAAGTATTGCTGAGAGTTTCAGGGATAAAAGCAAGACCTTTTTTCCCCCACTCAGCCTGAGAAACAGCCAGTTACCCTGGCAGACTTTGGGAACAAATGCCCAGTTTTAATCAACAAGCAACCCCTTTAAGTCACTGGCTGCTACAACAGCAGGATTTCTGGAATTGTCACGCATAGTTCAGCCAGTTCAAAGTGCTCTTCTAGTGCTTTATCCTTAAAATTTGTTTTCCTAGTCCTATTAAGAATCTCTGAAGTTTCAAGCAGACTTGAAGATCTCTGAAGATGCTAGGACAACAGGCTAAGCAGGAAGATGAACGAATGAGATAAGATACTCAAGAGAGGGCACATGTACCAAGAAAACAAAGCTTCAAGACAGTTCCAAGGAGGAAAACAAAGGCAGACACACCTTTAGAAAGTCATCTCACAGCCAACCTTTCTTTTCAGTTTTGTTTCCTGAATTCTTACACTAGGGAAAAGAATGAGGAAATGAGAAAAATACTCTCACTGACAACTAACCACAGTTGTTTTTTTTAATAGTGTGTTTCCTCCAGATGCATTCCTCCACATTACAAGGCTTTCTGTTGACTTTCAGTCCTTACCCAAGTGTCAAGAGAGAGAAATACACTTCAGAAAGGCTAAATAAGCAGCTGAATCTTAAACTGATAGTTTTTTGCTTTACAGATTCAATTTTTATTTACTTCACTATCAAAAATCGTCCCTGAAACACATCTTGATTCTTAAAAAAATAAGAAAAATAAGAGGGAAAAAAAACCTTAAGAAAAAACAGACACCTACGACAAAGTCATCCATTGTACATCACAGCTAAGCTTTCACAATCAAGGTAGCAGGTATCTCTCACGATGGCACGTCCAGGAAAGAAGTGGTAGTTTAAAAAGCAAAACAAGTACAATTCCAAGGCAAGGAAGTATGGAGGAAGCTATTGTTTCATGCTAGACTTCAGAATCCAGTCAAGAGAGCCCATCTGAAATGGACTAATGACATTCTGATTATTTTGCAATGTAAGAAGATGTATCTGAACACTGGCACAAAGCATACGCCCTACAACATCAGATGATCAACGCACTGCTGAGCTTCTAGTTCAGTTCCAGAACTGACTGAATTGCACCATTTCTCAAATGACAGTACAAATCCCAACAGCAATCTGGTTGTCCTCAAAGACTACGCTGGCAGGCCACTTTTGCTAATGCTGCCTACCAGTGGTGCTCTCACAGCACTTCACTGCTCACACGGCGAGAGACCAAAGCAACCCTAAACCCACAAGCACCATGGACTGAATGGAGAAGGGTCTGCTTTGGGAACTTCCAAAACCTGAAGTCATCAGAATGATTAAAATGCCCAAGAACCTTTCTGCAGGCTGAAAGGGGAAAAAAAGACAACTACACCAAAAAGTAAGGCCTTAAGAATGGTTCAAATAACGCTGACATCAGCAGTTCAGTTCCTGAAGGTAGAGAATGGCTTCCTCTTCTACACTAGAAGCCACAGAAGTCTGAGGATTGAACTACATACCTACAACCTTTTGCACACTGCAGGAGATGGCTCTGCATAGGCAAATGATGAATTAGGTGACTGAAAAAGTATTTTGCAGGTTTTCCTCCATACTGGAACTTCAAATGTCAGTGGTTAAGCACTAAACACTTCTGAGATATATTTAAAGGTATTCACATGTAACCACACTTGAGTGTGACATACAGAAGTGCATGAGGCACCATGTTATATTCAGACATTTTTCTGTCAGATGAATTACAGGAGACCTCTTTCCTCCAAATCAACCCAGTCCTTTTTACAATGAATCTGTGCCAGACTTGTATCACCCCAAGGGGTGAGGCAATGGGAAAGAAAGAAAATGGGGACATAATGGAAGACTGGATAATGAAATAAACCTACCTTCATCTCTTCCTTACAGAAGAAAGCATTTCAAGAAGTTAAGATGTTAGACTCTTCTCTGAAGAACTAGAAGCCTATGCGAACAAGTATTTTTGTGATATGGACTAAGTTACTGACCCCCCATTGCAAAGGGAAAGAAATGAGGTAAGTTTCTGCGAGCAAATCAGATGTGTCTTCAACTTCACTTACCAAAATCAAAGTTGAGCAGAAGCCAGTGAAGTCTTGTGAAAAGCAAGATATACCACTGGCTTTCAGAGGAAGTTACTCAGAAACACACAAACAAAAAAAAACCCCTGGACACTTGGAAGCACAATGCTTCCAAGGCGAAGCACAAGAACGTGGGATGCTCCCTTCCCCCCTGCAAAGAACTTTCACCAGATACGAACAGTCTTCTGTGTATCATCAATGAAGGACAATTCTGCTCATTGTTTGTTATTCTATCCTGCACAGGATTACACCTCTCTCCTGCAGGGAGGAGGTCAGAATGAAGAGAAAAGCGAACCATCTTCTCTGATGTCCGTGTCCCAGAGAACCATCTTCTCCGCATGCGATTGCACCTCCAGAAGCGGAGTCGTGATCAACTCAAAGCCCACCCTGATCGCATCGAGCTTCTCCTCCTTTTAAAGCAACGGTCTGAAATTCAAGCCGAGTTTTGGGTTTGATTTTTTTTTTTTTCCTCCTTCTTGTGACAAAACGAAAGGGAGAAAGAAAAGAGGGAGGGGTAGGAAAAGAATGTAAAAGCCTGACGTTAAAATCGTCTCGGCAGCAGCCTCGCGAGTGCGAGCCAGCAGAGCCTCCTCCACACCCGCAGGGTTTGCATGCAGCCGTGTGAGGTGCCTGGGAGCCTGCCTGATGGATCGGATGGAGGGGAGCGAGGGAGAGAAGGGAGGGGGAGGGAAGGAACAACCTTTCTTTTCTCTGCTCTTCCTGGGGATCTGAAAGTTCCTCCTAACAGGCTGGTGGTCTTCTGGGGGCTTAGGGAGAGGGGGCGGCCCCCTGAGCACACCGCTGGGCGGCTGCTGCTGTTCATGTGCCGTCGAGATGCTGCTCCTGCGCTGGCTGCTGCCAGGGATGCTGAGGTTTGTGGGGACCTTGTCCTCTGCAGCAGCAGCAGCCACCAGCAGCGCCTCCCCAGCGCTACTGCTCTCAGAGCGTCCGCCATTTTGTGTGGTGTCCTCAGCGGCTCCCGCTCTGTTACTCCCCACTCCGAGGACGCCCGCGCTGGTCTTCTCCGTCCGCTGATGCTGCTCCCACTCCATCTCGCCACCACTGGGGATCACGGCATCCGTCATTCCCTCCGGAGAAGCGAGCCCGGTAGCCCGCGCCTTCTCTTCTCCCCAGCACAGCGACCCTGCCCAGCGGCAGCACCGCCCCCCGCCCCTGCTCAGCCCCCTCCCGCCTCACGGCGGCCCCTGGGCCACCCCCGCCCCGGCGCACAACATGGCGGCGGCACAGGCACCGGGGGCGGGGCCGCGGCCGGCCCGGCTCAGCCAATGCGCTCGCGGCACACGTTATGAAAAGGGGTGCGGCAAGAGCTGTTATCTCTGGGATGGGGTGGCACCGGCCCCGCTGAGGGCCGGCAGTTCTCTAGCCCGCCGATACAGCTCCCCGCCGATACAGCTCCGCTCCGCGCCGATACAGCTCCCCGCCGGCAGTTCTCTAACCCGCCGATACAGCTCCCCGCCGGCCGTTCTCTAACCCGCCGATACAGCTCCCCGCCGGCCGTTCTCTAGCCCGCCGACACCGCTGAGGGACGGCCGCCCTCCCGCACACCGACACCGCCCCGTGCCGGCCGCCCTCCCGGGCCAGAGCCCTCCCGCTCATCGGCCCCGCGCTGTAGCCGCTTCCCTCCCCGCTGCCCAGCCCCGCCCGGTACCTGTTACATATTCATGACATTTCCCGACACTTATTAGCATATATGCAATCCCTGCAGGGTCTCTGAGGGGCTTCACTAAGGGGTCTTTGGTGGTCTTCTCTGTCTGGAGCCCCCAAAGTTCTAAGTGACTGCCTTATGAGCTTCTTTAGGACAATATACCTGGTTATAGAATAACCTGGTATTCTTGGCTGGCTGCCTCAGTTCCCTTCTATGTTTTCTTCACTCGGTTAGTTCTTTTCAATCGCTTGGCTCAGCTATAGGTAGTTTCTGTGTTACATTCTGCTGCACAAACCAATAGTTCTTGTTGCATCTCGAAACTCTGATATCATACCCTGGAGGGAAGGGGCTCCCCAGGGCAAACCGGCCCTTGGGCATGACCCCATGCTGATGTTTCAGGTCCAGGAAGCATCCAGGGGCTCACTGGAGCTCAGCACAGCTCCCCTGCCCCAAAAGGCAGCCCAGGCTTGCACAGATACCTCGACAAAAAAAGAGGGGTGTGAATATGTGGCAGCCAAAGCACAGACCTTTCTTTGGCAGCTCTGAGGAATGCACCGGGATTGAACAGTGCCTGCTGAATATAACCCATTGTTGCAGTGCCGAGGAAATATGAATACCAGACGTTTAGTTTTACAAGTAACTAACAAAACATTAAAAGCCCATAATTTGTATTCTATGTTAGAAGTATACTAGTGCTGTGGCTGTTAACAAATGCATATATTAATTAGCTGCTTATATCAATTACCTTCAATTCTCATAACTGTAACTATTTATACTGCCACCTCAAAAGCAGCAATTGACCTTAAAAATGTGAAGTTTGCATGCTTGCAAGATATGCAAAGAACATATATTTTAACCATGTGTTTTAACCTGGCCATTTTATTTTATCGATCTCTTTTTATATTACCTGTAAGTCAAAAAATATAAGTAACCTAAGAGCTCACAAATGGCCTGGTGCTAGTGGTAGCCTCCAGGGTGATGAAAGAAGATAAGCTAATGTTATTAGTTCTTAGAAGTCTTTGATGAGCCAGTAAGTTTAAAAAGTGTAATCAGTATCTGTAACTATAATTTACATAAATTACAGAAACATAGTAGCAAATATTTCTTTGACTGCAGAAACATGGTGTTCCATTGTCCAGAGCTAATAAACCCCACAAATGCAGTGTTCATCCTATGGGTAAACCAAGACTGTCTTCCTGAGAATGTGATGTCCAGTCTCTGTGAGGTTTCAGTGGTGGTAAAGAGGATATTACAGATGAGTTGGTATGTTATTGGAATAATTCTGCTGTGCTTTACTTTGTTCAAATAGAATTTCCATATACAAGAAAAAAAATGGAAATACCAAGCTAGTGCTACTTAAGGCTGTGCTGATCCATTATACATCTCCAAATATGTCAACCTGCTTTATTAAGTTTGAATTGGCAAAGCTGCTAAAATCACTTCCAGTCTTCAGTATACAACTAGTTCAGTTGATGTTTGGACCAAAGAAAGCAGCAAGTCTTGCTTATTTACCAAGCAACACACAAAGAAGTTTTCCTCATTTACCACTTGCTTTAAAAACATATGTCTTTGTAGTTGTACAGAATTATTTTTATGTGTTAATTAACATAAGTATTTATGTCACAAAAACTACCAAGTACTTGATAAATTATCTAACGATTCCAGATCACCTTAACACTATGCATTTTAAGTCCTGATGGATATAAAACAGGTACTAAGAATCCCAGTTCACAAAACAAAGGTTCAGTGAAAAAACATCATAGGAAGAGATTACTTGAATACTCCGAAGTAAAAAAGGTTATAAAATCTGTCACCTTACTGCCTCTCTAGCTTCTGGTTTCTGTGGTTTCTGATCCTTGCCAGGCATTCAACCACGACTCCCTGGCTTGCACCAAGTGGTTTCCCACCCAAGTACTGAGCAGCTGCAGATTCCTTTGATTCTGAAATCAGATGATATGTAACACATTAGTAATACAGATTTAGATCAGATTAATAGCCACAAAATGAGCCATTTTCAAGGGAGGGTTGTGTAAGGCTCCTTGCTCAAGGAGCAAACATGGGGCTTGCTCCAGACAGTACCTCAGCATTCCTTTATGAAAGCAAATTTAGAAATACAAAATTACTCAATCTGAGCATATTATTACAGTTTAATGTAAATAACTAGAAACTACTATTTTACATTATAGAAATTGCTCTAGTGATGCAAAACACATCTCATTCCTTCAAATGTTTAAATGCTAATTTAGTGCCGACTAAATTCAAGGTGCCAGGAGGTCAAAGATAGGAGAACTGTATAATTAATCTTTCTTCAAAGACCATACAAAGAGAGGCATCTTTGGAAAATTCAGAAACAAGACCTAATTTACACACTTGGAAAGAGCTTTAGTATCATTTACCAGCCATGGAGAAAATACGCCTGTGATATTAAAAGGCAAGACAAAATGGGGCAGTAGGCTTGACTTGGCTCTGTAACAGCAGGGATTAGTAGCAGAAATTCACCTGGTGCTTTTTTCTTTAACAAATTTGTGATCCTCAGGTGAAAGTCTGAAAATACCTACTTATATTTTTAAAATACTTTCACTTTATCATGATTAATACATTTAATATCTTTAAATTTAATGTAATCAAATCAGCTCTAAAAATACATCTTAATTTCCATTAGATGGCACCATCAACCTGTAGAGCAGATTACAGTATTTTAAAATCAGTATTCATGAGTAAGCATTAAATATGGAAGGACTGTCCATTCTAGATCTGGAACCCCCTTTTCAAAGGAAAAAAATCTTCCAGATATGTGAAACTCGGCTTCAGACTCTGTTAGATCCTGGCAACCAAGCACTGTCTGTGAAGTGCCAGGCAGTGTCACCATAAAACATTAACTTTTTCAAAATGTGCAGTCCATTAAACTGGTACCTTAAAGTTCTGATGTAGCTTTTAAATTCTAAAAGTTTTGTGAAACCTCAAGAAACCTGGTTTCCACCCTCCCCCAGAGGCATTCCTAAGGCAGTATCCCTGCTTCAGGGGGATCATGCTGAATAGGAGAAATATGTTCTCTGCCTTGCAGTTCAATTTTTGGCCTATCCTTTACCCAGATTCTGGCAACTGATTCTCTGGTACTGAGCTTCAGAGACCTTAAACTTACTGCTGCTGGTGTCTCATAACAGACCTTTGTGTTCCAGGAGATGTCTTCATCCTTGTGTTGTTCTTTTCAGTGCTGCAGAGCAAATCTAGGGAAACAAAGGCCACTTGAGAGTAAAAATTTTTTTTTTTTGTCAGAGGATCTATATAGTTCAAAGACTTCCAAGGCCATTCTCTTTGCTTACCTTTCCTTCTCAGTCATGACAATCTCTGCTTTTGCCTTCTGGTTCATCAGATCTTTCCATTAGCTAAGACTACACTATAGGGATTTATAATGCAAACATAGAGGATATGCTGCAGCTGTGAGAACATAACCTTATGTTGCAATTGTGAAAACGTGATCTGTTCTTCTGATGGCCTTCTGATGGTACCAGCATGTGAAAGATCTATCAAGAGAAACAGTAGCAAAACTAGATATACAAAACAGGGTCCCAGTAGCAGCTATCAGAGTGGGAAAGGACATAATGTTAGAGAAATAGAGCTAATAGAAGAGTATTGTTAGAACACTGTGTAAAAGACTGCTACTTGATTCACATAAATGGCTGATCATCATATTGGGGTGTTGAATCATCCCTGCTGGCATGGAAACCCCACACTACACTGACTGTCTTCATCAGGAACAGAAGAGCAAACAGTTCCTAAAATTTGTCCCTTTTGGACAAATCTTCCACATTAGACCACTGCTCTTGAGAGCAGGACACCCCATCACTCCCTCTTCTCCCAGAAGGTGAGATCCAGAGTGCCCATACCTCAGATTCACAGGAGCACCTGCATCCTGCTCCTCACGTTGCCGTCCCCACGTGGTGATCCTGGAAGCACCGGACCCCTCAGTCTTGTCACTGCTGCAACCACTCAGACCCGACTCTGCTGACACCAGGATCACTGACTGTGATGACCACTTGGACATCTCTCTGTACATTGCTTTTCCTCTTCACTACACATTCATCATTTTATGTTTTACCCATCTGTTTTGGTACATTTCATTGTCCAAGCCCACCCCTCCACCACCCCAGGCCCCTCCTGCCGCAATCCAGAGTCATTCTTTCAAAAGCAGCGACATTTTAAAAGTGCTAGAACTGAAACAAGCTAAGCAAATCCAGAATTATATTAGTGTTCTTGAACTGGAAAGCTTAATCCTTCTGATGATTTGAAGAGAAAAACCCAACATTACTAAGCTTAGATCAATCAGTAGCTAAATGCATGTAAACTACAAAGCAGAACAAATCACTTGCACTCCAAAATGCTGAACATGAGGTTAAGTGGGCGGCTAAATGATAGTAAACAAATGTAAATTAATCTTCTGAGATTCACTGGCTGGTTGGTGGCTTTTTACATACCCCAGAATTAATCAACTC